ATCATTCTTGACAGTAGGGCAGCAAGGTCATAACCTGGCTCCCGCTTTCCTGAGCCATCTAGCTGGAGAGATGGGGCACATACCAAAGAAGTGAAAAACAAACCACGTACCACAGCTTAAAATAGTATAAGACTAACGCCAAACCAGTGCACTTGCTCTTAGTGGAAACAAACAAACAGAAAAAACGCAAACAAAACCTGGCTCCAAGTGAGGAGGTTTGGAATTTAGAACCTTGAACCCTGTCGTTGTCATGTGACCATTTTAAATGTTAGCTTCTAACCGTCCCTCCCTCTTTGAACTGCCCACATCTGGGAGATTGTGGCCCACCAAGGAATGGAGGACGGGGGCAGTGGTGACACGTGAATGAATGCTGTTGTGCCTGTAGCTTAGGGTTGCTGAAGACTTGGAGGCTGAGGGTTCTGAGAAGGAAAGGGTCTTTGGGAGGTTCAAAGAATGACCTTTTAGGCCTAGCCATAATCAAGGAGGGGCCAGTGACGTGTGTAAAGGGTCAGGCCTTCCTCTCCAGAGGGGTGAGAGGCTGTGGGAGGCAGAAGGAGCAATAGGAGGAGAGGCCCCACGTCCCCTTCCTGCAGACTGTTAAAGGTCTTCTTCCTGGGGGATCATGAAGGTAATGCCCCAGCACTGACTAGTGAAGGCTCCACTGCCCTGTTTGCCAGCCCTGCCCACACGTTCTTTAGCTGTCCTGGGAGTTGTGTGTTTTTGTTGGCACTGTGGATGGTCTAAGGAGTGTGTCCAGCCTGTGGGTGTCCCAAATATCCAGGAACTCACTTGTTTTTCCTAGGAGGAATTCTGGGCTATTTTTGGTCTCTAGTTGGTACTAAGAGTGATTTTTAAAATAATGAAGTGTGCTGGTTTGCCCCCTCCTCCACCAGGTTCCTTGCCAGAGGCCTCCGTTTAACTCCAGATCAATGCCATCAACTGTCAGCTAAGAATGTGAATGTGGGCTGCTTCCTGGGGGAGCCACTTTATCCAGAGGTAGGCCCACAGCCTCCTCCCCTCAGGTATGGACTGGGGAGGAAGTATGGATTTTTCTTTTGAGGTGAAATAATGGAATTGTGGTTATGCTTTGTTTTTTTAAGGTCCTTTATCTTTTAGAAACACATACTGAAATACAAATGAAATGATGTGATGTCTGGGACTTATTTCAAAATTATATGGGGAGGAAGTAGAAAGTTAAGATGAGGCAAAATTGGCCATTAGTTGTTAATTGTTGAGCTGGGTGACAGGGCCATGGAGAGGTTTATTACATAATTCTGTCTACTTTTGTTTATGTTTAGCAATTTCCATAAGTTAAAAAGAAAGCAGGAGCATGTGCACAGGCAAACAGGAAGGCTTTGGAGTCTAACCAAATTAGGTTTCAGTTTTAGCTCTACCACTCTTATCTCACACCTTAGACAAGGAGCCTCGTTTCCTCATCTGTAAAATGGGGCTAATCACATCTGCTGCAAAGGTTGCTAGGGGAGTTTTTAAGGAAATAATGCATGTGAAGTGCTTAGCCTGATACCTGGCAGCTAATCCCCAATAACTCATCTTCCAGCTGAGAGTCTGCACTAGGCAACCCCTGGCTGACCGCTCTCTCTCTGCTGAGGAGAAACTGACTTGCGGTGGGGAGGGGGCCACCAGGAGGTACCTGGGGGTCCGCTTCCCGGATCTGGTGGACACACAGCCTCTGCCTTTGATCTAACCCCTCATGGCTCCGCTTACAGTTTTGGTTGATCTGGATCTTCCTTGGCAGCAGTTTGGAGTCTAATCAGCAGTCAGATTCCTGGCTGGGATTTCTGCTGAAATATCAGGGAGCCAAAGCATTTATTTACTTATTTATTTTTTAACTTTTTGATAAGGAGCCCTGGTGGCACAAAGGTTAAATGCTCTGCTGCTAACCAAAAGATTGGTGGTTTGAGCCGAGCCAGTGGCTGTGCAGGAAAAAGACCTGGAGATCTGCTTCTGTAAAGATTACAGCCTAGAAAACCCTATGGGGCAGTTCTGCTCTGTCACTTGGGGTTGGTATGATTTGAAATCGACTCGGCAGCACCTACCAACAACAATAACAACTTTTTGGAATAATTATAGATTCGTAGGAAGTTGCAAAAAATGTACCAGGGGCCCCATGTACCCTTCACCCTGTTTCTCCCAATGGTCTTCGATATAACTACAGTACAGTATCACAACCAGTAAAATGACATTGGTACAATCACGGAGCTTATTCAGATTTCACCAGTTTTACATGCACTTATTTGTGTGTGTTTAATCCTGTGCAGTTTTATCCCGTGTATAAATTCATGTAACCACCACCACCACGATTAAGATCCAGAACCGTTCCATCACCACCATAGGAGTTCCTTCATGGAAAGCATTTATTTTTCAAAACAGAAATAGCTTTTTTTTTTATGATTTAAAAAATAAATAAATTGTACACAGAAGAATAACAGGAAGCATGTGTCAACAGTGATTGATTTTACTTTATGCTTTGCACTTTTTCATATTAGCTGATTTTTGTTTTTATAATGAACATATACCATTTAGACAAAAGCAATAAAGCTCTTAATTTTTTTTTAATCACTTGAAATCTACCACCCAGATACACCACTGTTGATGTTTTGGCAGAACATTTTTCCAGACTTTCTTGTAGATTTGTTCGCCTGCCCTTCCCTCCGACTTTCTCCGTGTTCTCAGAAGACATTTTCTGGAGGGAATACTGCTTTGACTGCCTCCCTAGGTGTTTTGTGGTATGAAAGTGTTCCAGAGGTGAGGTTCTCACAGGACAGGGGATAAGTGGCCTTTTGGGCACTTGGCCTCTCAGAGGCTTTTGAGAAGAGGGTCTTGCTTGTTCAGAGAAGATCTGGATTAATATCTGTTTCTTTCCTTTCCACTGGGTTTTGAAACCATGCCTCTCCCCGCTGCTACCCCTCTGCTTCCCCTTCAGTGTGGAGTGGTCTCCAGGTCGTGGATTTGGCTATTCCTGAAAAAGCATTCACGGTTTGGATTTTCTGGCCTGCAACTCTCTGAATGTAGGCAGGACTCTATGTCCTTCTTGCCAATAATTCTAGTAATCACACCTAATGTTTATCACATGCTCTCCCGGTGCTAGGCCCTGCGTCAGACATTTTACTGTGAATTATTTCTGTGAATCCTTGGAGCAACCCATTGCGGTAGGTGTTATCATCATCCCCATTTCTCAAACAAGGAGAATGAGGCTCAGAGAGGCTAAATATCTTTCTTGGGTCACCGGCTGGTATGTGGCAGAACTGGAACTCGAGACCAAAGTCCATGCATCTAACCACTAGCCTATCCTGCCTCCCACCAGCAGCAGCTGCCATTAACCCAGGATACCTTGTGTCTTCTCATAGGTGAGCCCAGGCCAGAATGGGGGACTCCAGGGACCTGTGCCCTCACCTTGACTCAATAGGGGAGGTGACCAAAGAGGATTTGCTGCTCAAATCTAAGGTAAAGGGGTCAAGGCACACACCAGGGCCGTGTTCCTGGGGTACAGTGTTTCTAAGTAGTGGAAGAACTGGCTCCCCAACAGTCTCAGCTCAGCCTTTTGTATAAATGGAAAAGCTGGCGTCTGTTTGGGAGGCCCTCTTCCTGGGGCTGTGTCCTAATAGCTGTTAATTATCATTTAGACCAGTCCATTTGGGAGCCACTAATGCTCTCTGTCCATTAGCTGTTGGAGCAGGTGCACAGAGCCTTTCTGAGGAAGCGAATGAATCATGCTTTCAGAGTCCACAGACATTTACAGTGTGACCTGAGGAGGGCTCAGGGCCATCTGAGATGAGAAGGTGGACCTCATCTGGGCTAGGGAGGCTTTTTTGTTAAATCAATTTTTTTTTAATCATTTAAAAATGAACAGTGTAAGAAGATAAATGGCAAGAAGTCCCATCCCCACTCCTGTGCCCACCCTCCCCAACCTCAGGTAGCCACTTCCATTGGCTTTTTTGTATCTCTTCAGAGTTTCCTTGTGCACATATAAGCAAATTAAGCAAATATACTTAGTTTTTAGTTTTCATCTTTCTTACATAAAAGGTAGCATACTATGGACACTGCTCTATAATTTGCTTTATTCATGTAACAATATATGTTGGGGCTCTTTTAACGTAAGTATATAGAGACAGTGTTCTCATTCTTTTCTTTGTCTTTAAGTTGCATCGTATTTCCTTGTATGGACATGGTAACTAACCCTCTATGGATGAACACGTGGGCTGTTTGCAGTTTCTTGCCAGTATAAATGATGCTGCAGTGCACAGCCTTGTAGAAACACCATTTTATATGTGTGCAGTTACATGTGGGCCAGAAATGAGATAATTGGGTCAAATTCCTAGAGATACCACCTGGTGTTCTTTCCGGGCACCCTACTGCTGGCCATTTAGCCTCACTGTACCAGCAGATTTCCAGTGGCCCGTTGGCCTGAGCTGGTTTAGCTGTGGGCTTGGGTGAGGGATCTAGTTCTTCTAAGTACCTATAGCTCTTCTGAGGCAGTTTCAACTTCTTGTGTGGCCTCAGGGAGGGGGACAGTGAGGCTCTGGTGCATTTGCACTGCCTGATGCTGAGTTTCTTTCTAAGTCTACCCAAAGGAAGAAGTGAGGCACACTGAGAGGATTTTCCCTACAAAGCAGGCAGGAAGTAGTGGCATCTGAGAGCAGGAAGGAGATGAACAAGGTGGAGGATGGAGGCAGCACACAGGAAGATCAGGGCAGAACAAGCAGCCTTCTGGAAGTTTGTGGGTGCCTCTGGAGCAGAAAGATCAAGAACAATTGGAGGTGTCTCAGGGCCAGCATTTCAGAGACCGTGTCTTGAACACCTCAAAAATACAAAATTTACAGAATAAAATCAACATTGTTTTAAAATGCCGAGAAGGGACAAGGATATGAACAGGTAGTTCACAATAGAGGAAACGCAAATGACCAAAAAGCTTTTGAAAAAAGATGCATACACTGCGTGGACAAAACAAACCACCCCTCTCTCATGGAGCCCATAGTCTAGATAGGAAGAAAGACTTAGTAGGCAGGAAGAGTAGATGGTGTGATGAGAGACTATTTTAAGGGATCTGTTTAAGTTTTAAATAATTGGAAAATGTTTTCACAGATAACATGGTAAAAAAAATTCAATCAAGTGTAAAGTCTCTCTCCTACTCCTGCCCCATGGGGAAGCTAATTTAGGTTGGTAGGATGGTGAAGGCCTTTCTGAGGCACCTGTAGGGTGTTAAGCATAGGCCAGGTGGAGCAGGTGTGTGGTGCCCTGCCTGCAGGAGCAGCACCTGTGCTTAGTGAGAAAGCCTCCTGGTCAGCTCACACATTGCTGTTTCTCTCTCATCTTCACCCATGCAGGGAACCTGTCAGTCCTGTGGTGTTGCTGGACCGAACCTGTGGGCCTGTCTCCAGGTAAAGTATCCTTACAGCTATTGGGATACTCTGTGAATATGGGCTGGGAACATTTGCCCCTGGTCGCCACTGATGGAAATGTTGGGCAGGGGCGGGCATTGGACATTGCAGGTGCAGTTCCCAAGTCCAAGCCAAGAGGGTGCCAGAGTCAACAAGTCCCTGGGCTGGCCTCCCCAGCAGCCATTAAAAATAACAAGAAAATAAAGCCGGTTAGAGAATATGGACTGAATGGCCCCATCTTTGTAAAAAGTCAAAACGAAATTCTATACTCACATTTGTATGTGAGATACAAGACGTCTTGGGTTTGAACCCCGGCACTCCCTCCTACTAGTTATCTGTCCTCTCTCTTTTGGGCTTCATTTCCTCGTCTATAAAATAGGGCCCTAACACTGAGGATGGTCCTTGCCTCATGGGATTAGGGTAGAGTTTGACAAGATGATGCCTGTGACCTGCTTGGCATGGTTGTGCACGGCTCATAGAAAGTATCCAGTAAAATCTGGTCATGTTTTTGATTATTATTGCTTATTGAAAAGAGTAAAAGTAGGTATGGTGATGTTCTTTGGACATGAAATTACAGGTAATTGTCTTTTTTCCTCTGTGACTTTGTGATATTTTCCACAGTTTCTAAAAGTATATATTACATTTTATAGGCATAGTAAAAATGATTGTTACTTAAAATAAAATTTCTTAAAAAGAAAAAAGAAAAGAAAAACCCAAGTAGAAAAGAAAAAAGACAAGACAGCACTGGGGGTGAAGACATCACAGTCCAAGTCAGTCTTTGCAGAAGACACAGGGGCCCCTAGTGGAATTCTGGCCTCTTCTCTCTGGGCAATAGTAGAATGTTTACTGTATGCAAGACACTATTCTGGGCACCGAGGGGACAAGAAGTGTGAGATGTGGCTCTACTTCCTGGGAGCCTCTGGTCCCCCTGGAGAGACAGATAGGAGACTCATGCAGGAAATAACACATCCTTTACGAGGCCCTCACCAACCTGGGCAGTGCCCATCACAGTGGAAAAGACAGCATATGTTCTTGTGGAGAAGCAGGCAGAGTCATCATTGGCTGCTGGCTGGAGTGGATGCCCACAGTGAGGAGGCACTTAAGCTGGGCTTTGGAGGAAGGGTAGATTTGGGATTGGAGAGTGCAAGGCCAAAATCAGGGGGATATGTGGGCCCCACTGTGGGACACTGGGTCAGTATTGGGCCCCAGCCTCTTCTACACTTCGTTTTGAATACCTGGTCCCTCATTATAAAATACCTGTGAGGCCTGGGATCCCCCACCAAAAGTGTGGGCCCCAGTAACTGGCCCATCAGAAAGTGAGGGAGAGTCTGGGAGATAGTTTGGTGTAAAAGGGCTGCGTAGAAGGGGAGAGGGCCACAAGCAGTCTGGCCTTAGCTTTGCCCAGGTCCCAGCTGTGACCTCTGCCTGGCCTTCTCACAGGAGAGCAGCAGCCCAGGGCAAACTGCCTGTGTAACTCAGAGGGCAGGGGCACGTAGGATGGTGGCCATCCCTGCCCAGTGAGAACTTCAGGGTGGCAGAGCCTCAATCCCTTGTGGGTCCTGTAGGGTAGAGATAGGGAATGTAGTCAGAAGCTCACTGTTCTGAGACCATCCTCTTGGCCACCCCGGCCCACTCTCCTTCCTTCTCCCCAGGTTGCCTGCCCCTATGTTGGCTGCGGAGAATCCTTTGATGACCACAGCACCATCCATGCACAGGTAAGTGTGGTAGCTGAGAGCACGGGTTCTGCCATCAGACAGCCCTGGGCTCAAACCCCAGATCCAGCCACCTGCTAGCTCCATATACCTGCTCTGGGCCTCAGTGGTCATGTCTGTAAAACGGGGGATAATCATGGCAGGATTGCTCTAAAGAAACAAGAGATAATTTGGGTAAAAGCACTTAGCACATTGTACGTGACCAATAAATGGCAGCCATTGGTCTTCCTGATGGGAAGGTGAGCAAAGATGGAGCTTCCAGACCTCCATCCTGACAGGACCTCTTCATGAGGCCCAGAGAGTCCCGTGTGGGCTCAAGGCTCTTGTTAGTCCTGTGTATCCTTGACCTTATTTTGGATGTTGTTGTTGTTAGTTGCCATCAAGTCAATTCCAACTTATGCCGACCCCATGTGTGCAGAGTAGAACAGCTCCATAGGGTTTTCAAGGCTGTGACCTTTCAGAAGCAGATTGCCAGGCCTGTCTTCCAAGGTGCCTCTCGGTGAATTTTACCTTTAGGTAAAAAAGCACAACCTGACAGTGAATCTGACCACGTTCCGGGTATGGTGTTATGCCTGTGCGAAGGAGGTGTTCCTGGAGCAGCGGCTGGCGGCCCCCGCACCAGGCCCGTCACCTAAGTTCTCAGAGCAGGTAAGGAGGGTGCACGGGGGTCAATAGGTTGTGAGACTGCATCAAGAACTGTTGGTCTGCTCTTCTTGGAGTGGCCAGGGGTCAACGTGACTCATGCATTGGTGGAGTACAAGCCATAGTCTGTTCCTGGGTCATCAGCATCCTTAGGTTACTTTGAGGCGCTCACGTCACCAAATGGTTGCTGAGCCCCAACTACGTGCCAAGGCTTGTGTGAGGTGATAAGGGTGAAAAATGACTAAGGGTAGGACCTCCCTTAAAGAGCTCAAGGCCAGGGTAGGCAGACCTGAAACGTGTTATGAGTCAGTGTGGTGAGCGCAGTTGGTGGGGTGAGCCTGGGAGCTGTGGAGTGGTGTTTTCTGGAGGCTTCGATGAGAATGCAGATGCCTACCAAGCTTATGGAGTGGGGCTTTGTGAGGTCACAGATGGCAACTGGCAATCCCAAATCTCAAAATATATTCTGAGGGAATAACAAGCCAACCAGTAGTCACTGCAACCTGCTTCTCCAGGGGGGACACCTGGAAATGACCTGGGTGTTACATCAACTCAGAGCAATAGAATGGGTGCAGCCATCAAAGTTGGAGGGCTTAGTGAGCTCACACATCTGAGGGCCTCAGCCCAGTGTCTGCTCTTGGGATATGGTCATTAGGCCGTAGCTGTTAGAACTTCCTACCAGAAGTTCCCTAGAAGATCCAGGGAGACCAGGACTTTGCTCACTGTGGTTTCGCCTCAATGCTTAGAACAGTGGCTGTCACATAAGTAGGTGTTAAATAAAATGTTTATTGAATACACTTACGAACATGGTAGATGTTTATGACTTTATTAAAAAGGCTATAAAACAACACACACCTACACCTCACTTATCGACTATCTCATTATCTGACATTTTGCATTTATGACAAGAGTAAAAATTCTACTGTCCAACTATTTTGCACATTAATGACATACGTCTGGCAGTAATGAATGCCAAGGTGCAAGGTGAGAATAATGCTGCCTGTGATGGTTAAGATAATATGTCAACTTGCCTGGGCCGTGATTCTCAGTGGTTTGGCAGTTATGTAATGATGTTATTTGGCAGTTATGTAATGATGTAGTCATCCTCCATTTTGTGGTCTGATGTGGTCATCCTCCATTTTCACATAACACCGATTTTCACATAACGACCTGGTCTTTGCAACCTAACATGTCGATAAGTGAGGAGTGGGTGTATACAATATCCCATTTTTGTTATATGTATGTAATAGTATGCATATTTAATATATATTTACAGCAATATACGTGTATATATAAACTGTTTATTGTTAACGTGGTTATTTTTGTGTTTTCTTTATGTTTCTGGTTTTTTTTCTAAATTTATTATAAATAAAATACATTATTATTATCCATTGTTGTAAATGAAATACAAGTTAGGGAATTCCCAAGGTGAAGCCACCAGCTAATGTCAGGGCAGGGCTGTGGGATTGTGGGTCTGGGCTTTCTTCTTCTGGGAGGTACATGGGCCTCTGACCCCAATCCCTCTCCCTCCCACCCTGTTATCTTTCCTCACTCTGGGTCTTTAACACAGGACTCTTCATCACCCTCTCACCCTCTGAAAGCTGTCCCTATCGCTGTGGCTGATGAAGGAGAGTCTGAGTCAGAGGACGATGACCTGAAACCTCGAGGTAATAGCCCCCAGGATGGAGGAAGCTGTTTGGGTCTTGGCTGAGGGTGGAAAGCACTGAGGTATTTTTCTCCACACGTACTGTGCCACCATGGACAGGAAAGGACGGGATGACAACATGTATGGGCGTGGTGGCTCCCTCTTGAGTGCCACAAGGACTAGTCTACATCCAAGCTGAGGCCACCCAGCTCAGTCCTGGAGGCCTGGCAGTCCTAGTCCCCACTCCCAGCCATGTGCCTCTGGGCCAGCCAGCCCCCTGCACCTTGGCCTCCTCGTCTGTACAGTGCAGACAGCGGGCCAGGCTGGGTCGAGGGGTGAAGAGTTCATATATTTAATACACTCAGTTAACCACAGGTTTTGTGGACAAGAACATTAACTGACTGGAAAGATTTTTGGAGTGAAACACCAGCCACCCATGTCCTGCTCTGGCTGGGTCCTGGGGGTTGCGAGCCACAGCCCCTATCTGAGTGTGAATTTGGAGGTTTCCTTGCCAGGACAGTACCCTCACACCCCCCGCCCCCCGTTATGTTGTTTCCTAGGTCTCACAGGCATGAAGAACCTCGGAAACTCCTGCTACATGAATGCTGCCCTGCAGGCCCTATCCAACTGGTAGGTTGTTACCTCGTGGGGAAAGGGCAGGGCTGGGAGCTGTCCCTGGCCAAGCCCTGGAAATAGCAGCAGCAGCCCCGGGCTGTGTTGCTCTTATTGCCTGTGTGTAGTTGTATACAGTTCAGAATCCCTAAAATGCGCATGCCTTTTGACCCAGCAGTCCCTCCTACTGTAATTTATCCTAAGAAGATAATCAGAGATGTTAAGAAAATTGTATGTACAAGGATGCTTATCATTCTGTTGTTTATTGGAAACAAAACAAAAAAACCAAACCCACTGCCAGGATTCTGACTCATAGTGGCCCTGTAGGACAGAGTAGAACTGCCCTATAGCGTTTCCAAGGCTGTAATCTTTACGGAAGCAGACTGCTACCTCTTTCTCCTGGGAGTGGCTGGGAGGTTCAAACTGTCGACTTTTCGGTTAGCAGTCGATTGCTTTAACCACTATACAGCCAGGGCTCCTTATTGGAAACAAGGGATTGGTAAATTCACTGTAGCCCAGCCTTACAGTGAAACAGAAATGTAAGTAACTAAAAATGATATATAAAAAAAATAATTCAGGGAAATATTTATTGAAGTGGAAAGGGGTTCACGATATGGTAAGTGGATAAAATAAGAGGTTATAAAGTTTTGTATGATGCAATTCCATTTTTTGGAGAAAATACTAATTTCCATCTAGAATAGGCTGTCAATTCCAGGAGGCCAGGACATCTGCTGTGGCTGGCACAGGGCCTCCCACCTAGTGGCGATTTAGTATATGTGTGAAGGAAGGAAGGACTGAATACATATGCACAGGAAAGTCTGGAAGGATATGCCCCAAAATGTTCAGAGTGGCTCTCCTTAGGTGGTTGGATTATGGTCAGTTATTATTCTTTGCTTACCTATATTTTCTAATTTTTCTATATTAAATGTACATTTCTTATGTAATAAGATTATTTTTAAAAACAGAAGGAAGTGAGGAGCAAGGGGGACTCCTTCAGGTCCAGGAAGGGTTTCCAAGGAATGGGCTCATGGGAGGAGCAGGAACTGCTTCCTTCCTCATTGGTACAGCAGCAGGCTCCTGGCCTCTCGAGCCCTCCCCTTTCAGGGAGCTCACATCTGACTTTACAGAGGAGAGGATGGAGTCCTTTTAGCTATCCATCAGCGTTCCTGGGTCTGGGGGCCACTGCATGTCCACACGTGAGCACTCAGGGCTTTTGCTTCTCTGCCTAGCTCTTTCTTAAATGACACCATCTTCCTCTTCTTTTCTGACCTTGTCCACTCCTCCGGCCCCTAGCCCTCCGCTGACCCAGTTCTTCTTGGAGTGTGGCGGCCTAGTGCGCACAGACAAGAAGCCAGCCCTGTGCAAAAGTTACCAGAAGTTGGTCTCTGAGGTCTGGCACAAGAAACGGTGAGTGAGTCCCTCATCTTGGGCAGAGGTGTGGGGGTGGGGAGTTTTATCAGTGCCACCCCTCCCCACCCCCGCCACTTACCAAGCCCTTCCTGTAGACTTGGTCCCAAGCCAAGCATTTGACATACTTTACCCTGTGTAACACTTACAGCACCCCTGTGAGGTGTAGGTTGTACCCAGCCTACACAAATGGGAAACTGAGGTTCAGAGAGATTTAAACATCTTGCTCATGGTCACACAGATGGTGAAAAGTGGAGCTAGAATTTCAACCATGGTGTTGATACTGCCCCAGAGACATGTCATAACCAGTCCCAGCTCTTGGCTGTCACTGTGACCGTGAAAGATAAGCAGAAGTCAGGGGTAGTGCTGACGGGGCATGGCCTTCTAGTTCAGTGTGAAATGAATGTAAAGACCAGGAGCTTGGATTACATCTGTTCCTCCGGGAAAATTCAAATTGGGGAGTAATTTACAGTGAGTACTTAGAAATATATTAAATATAAAAACAGATTGGAAAACAGTACGATGCAGTATAATTCCAGTTTTGTAAGAAACAAAGTTTATTTAAGCATACACTGGCATGTGCTTTTGTATATATGTCTGAATTTTTCACAGAAAAATTTGGAAATCTTTTTTTTTTTTTTTTTAATTTTATTGTTGTACTGTAAGTGAAAGTTTACAATTCAAGTTAGTCTCTCATACAAAAATGTATACATACATTGTTATGTGACCCTAGTTGCTCTCCCTATACTGTGACAGCACACTCCTCCTTTCCACCCTGATTTCCCATGTCCATTCAACCAGCTCCTAACCCTCTCTGCCTTCTCATCTTACCTCGGGACAGGAGCTGCACATTTAGTCTCATGTATCTACTTGAGCTAAGAAGCACACTCTTCGCAAGTATCATTTTATGTCCCGTAGTAAATCTGGAAATCTTAATGGTAGTTATCTATGGGTGGTGGGATTAGTGGTGATTTTAAATTTTTCAGTAGTGAAAATATATTTCTTTTGAGTTTAGAAAAACCCCTATAGATACACTTTTTAAATGAAAACAAGTAAGTTTTAAAGTGGGTTTGTTGTGGACTAGCTAGAAATTATCTCATCACAGTCAAGAGCTCTGTCTGGTTGAGGCAGCCATGACTTGGCATTTTCCTTCTTGAGCGTAGAGATGTGTGAGCTTGCTGGGGCTCCTGACAGGGTAGACATTTCCCAATTTCAGTTAAATTCCACTGAGTCCGATCCAGCCTTACTAGCTACCTGCCTGCCTGCCTGCCTGCCTGCCTGCCTGCCTCTCATGGGATTGAGTAGCTTAGTGCAGGCCACGTGGACTAATGGGTTTGGTCTTCCAACAGCCCAAGCTACGTGGTTCCCACCAGCCTGTCTCACGGGATCAAGTTGGTCAACCCAATGTTCCGAGGTTATGCCCAGCAGGTAGGCCATCTGAGTGAGCTGCCCAGGGGATACCAAGGGCCATTACCTACCAGGCCTGGCTTTGAAGCCAAAACCAGAATGGAAAATAGCAACAACCCTAACCTTTGCTAGGTGTATCTTAAATACCAGGCCCTCACTGCCTGGGTTCTTTATGTGTTTGAGGACATTGCCGCCCCCCAACAACCTGCTGAGGTAGGTACTCCTGGTATTTACAGATTGGGGAAACTGAGGTTCAGGGGGCAAGTCACTTGACTGGGTCACATAGCTGATAAATGGCAGAGGGGAAATTTGAACTCAGGCAATCTAACTCCAAAGTCTGTGCGCCTCAGCAGTACACTCAAAATGGCACACAGCTTTCTTGTTCTTCAAACCACAAGCAGAATTTATTTCACTTTTATTAAATTTTTTAATCTAGAGAACCTCTTTGAAACCAGCCATATGTTTCTATTTTATAAAATCATGGAACCAAGATGAAGCAGAATGCATCCAGGTCTATACCTTAGTCGTGAGCTGAGCTGATAGTTCACATGGTCTAGGTCCCTGCCCCAGACTGCACATGGCCTAGGTTTCACTGCTGGGGTGTGGGGTGGGGCTGGGCCTGCCTGGTTGTCTTTTCTGCTGATTGAATGTGGGACCAGAGGTAGAGCAGTGGTTATTTGAGGGATGCTGTGGCTCTCTCCGTCTGCCCCCCTCCCCTGCCTCCCATCCCTTCTGGGTATTTCTCCACCCACCCCTCAGTTGGGCCTGTCAAGCCTGAACATGAGGTTCCTGCCTGAAAAGCCCAACACTGCCTGAACACCACCCTTTTTGGGAATTGATAACATCCAGGATGATTGAGAGTATACCACCTGCCATTTATTAAGCAGTCACTGTGTACGTGCTACATAATAGGTACGGTCCTGTTTAGTCCTCTCCAAGCTCTCTTGAAGCAGGCATGGTCATCACCACAGGCTATAGTAAGGAGTGAGGCTCAGAGAGGTTCTGCTGCTTTCCCAGGTCACACAGCACATAGTGGCAGGGATAGGACTCAAACCTCGCTGAGCTCTGCTCTCCCCATAGTACCGCCCTCACTCTGTGTACGATGTCTCCTGGTCTGTTGGTGAGGACACTGAGTGGGGACGCCTGGCTGCTATGTGGCATCCCTCTCTCCTGGTTCTCAGACAAAATGCAGGGAGCATGTCTGAATCTGAAATGTAGACCCAGTTGAGGGCCACTCTTAATGGCCAGATGATGCTGTCATGCTTCTGCATGGATTGAGATTGTGGCAATGGACACGTAGTACTTTTTTTTTTAATTTTAATTTTTTATTGTTGTAGTTTAAATGAAGTTTACATTTCAAGTTAGTCTCCCATACAAAAGTTTATACATACATTGTTATGTGACCCTAATTGCTCTCCCCATACTGTGACAGCACACTCCTCCTTTCTACCCCTGATTCCCCATGTCCATTCAGCCAGCTCCTAACCCTATCTGCCTTCCCATCTCACCTCCGGACAGAAGCTGCCCGTTTAGTCTCTTGTATCTACTAGAGCTAAGAGGGACACTCATCACGAGTATCACTTTATGTCCCACAGTCCAGTCTAATCCCTGTCTGAAGAGTTGGCCTCAGAAATTGTTTTAGTTCTGGGCTGATAGAGAATCCAGGGGCCATGCTTTCCAGGGTTCCTCCAGTCTCAGTCAGACCATTAAGTCTGGTCTTCTTACTAGAATTTAGTTCTGCACCCCACCTTTCTCCTGCTCCATCTGGGACTCTCTGTTGTGTTCCCTGTCAGGGCGGTCATTGGTGATAGCCGGGTACCATCTAGTTCTTCTGGTCTCAGGCTGATGAAGTCTCTGGTTTATGTGGCCCTTTCTGTCTCTTGGGCTAATACTTTCCTCGTTGGACACATAGTACTTTTGTTAAAAGGAAGAACCAGCAAGAGAACTAGATGGTATACCGAAGACCTCTTAAAAGAGCCTTTCAGTGCACCCGACACAGGACTCTCTTCTCCTCCCTCATCTCCCTAATTCAAGATGAGCATGTGGTTAATTGCTCTTGGTGTCTGACATTTTGCCTAAGGAAATCCATCCAGAGTGTTCCCTTCTCTCTGCTACAGCTAAGAGAACAAGGCCTCTCCAGATGTGTGGGTGCTTGGCTGGGTCTGGCCACTACAGAACCTTGACCTCATGTGAGTCAGGAGTTGGGCTTGGGGGCTGCTTCTGACATGAGGGTCAGAGAGTGTGAGAGTAAGAGCAGGGCTTTGAACCCAGGTCCTCCTCCAGGGGCCCAGACACTACCACTAAATGTCACTAGCTGCCAGTGGGTGGCTGCAGTCATCACTCTGTAACCTTTCAAAGCACTTCCTCTGTTGTGTGCACAGCTCTGGGCTGGGCTCAGTGGGTAGGCTATCCAGAGGCCTGGCTGGGTTGGGGACGTGGTCATAGAGGAGTCAGAATAAAGTCAACAAGGCTGTGACTTGAGCACCCAGCCAGCCTGTAGGTGGCAGTATGGCCAGCCTTGCACAGGTGTGCAGGAAGTTGGTGTTCTGTCTTCACCCCAGCCTGTGTGCCCTTCAGTGTTGCGATGGCCAGGGAAGGCGTGGGCACACACAGGCCACAGACAAGCGAGGGGCTTGGGTACTGGCAGAGCAGAGAGAGCCAGAGGAAGGGCTGATGATGTGGGTGGCCTGGCCCTGCTGGGGAGAGCTGTTGGTGCACAACTCAGCTGTGCCCTATCTGTGCACGGCCCCTCAGTGTCACCCCCTCGCCCTCCAGGGCGCTCCCTGCCCACCCCCACTGGCCTGGCCTGTCAGGAGCAAGGGCACTTTAGTGGCTGAATGTTGTTCATCCTCTCTGGCCTTCCACACTGAATTTGAAGCAGAGTTACAGGTGGTTAAGAGCATGAGCTGTGGAGTCAGATGGATCTCTGTTCAGATCTCGGCTCTCCCAGCTATAGCTGGGCGACCTGGGGAAGTCCCTTAACCTCTCTGAGCCTCAGTCTCCTCCTCAGTAAAATGGGGGTTAGGACAGGACTGCCTAGAGAGTCTGCTGTGAGGAGTTGATTAGATCATCTGCGCAGGGCACCCACGAGGCAGTCGCCAGACAGAAGTGGCTGGTGTCCTCATCAGCGGAAGCAGTAGGGTACTTGTGGCCAGTGCCTCCTGTTGACACAGCCCCTGGTTCCAGGACACCCAGGAGTTCCTGCGGTGCCTGATGGACCAGCTGCATGAGGAGCTCAAGGAACCAGAGGTGGCAGTGGCGACGGCGGCAGCAGTGACAGAGGCTCGGGACTCCGACTCAAGTGACACAGAGGAGAAGCGGGAGGGCGACCGGAGCCCGTCAGAGGATGAGTTCCTGTCCTGTGACTCAAGCAGTGACCGGGGTGAGGGTGACGGGCAGGGTCGTGGCGGGGGCGGCTCGCAGGCTGAGACAGAGCTGCTGATCCCAGACGAGGCGGGCCGCGCCATATCCGAGAAGGAGCGGATGAAGGACCGCAAGTTCTCCTGGGGCCAGCAGCGCACAAACTCTGAGCAAGTGGACGAGGATGCTGATGTGGACACCGCTCTGGCTGCCCTTGACGACCAGCACGTGGAGACTCTGCCACCATCGCCATGTTCCGCCAGCCCCTGCCGGACGCCAGGTATCAGACAGCCAAGGGCTGCTCAGGGCTGCTGGGAGAAAGCACAGCAATTGGACCAGCAGCCGCATTTGTTTGGCACCTACTGTGTGCCAGGCACCACCATGCAGTAGCCCACTCAGTCTTCCCAACCACCCTGGGAGGTGGAGCCTACCACTAGCCCCAGCTTACAGGTGAGAAAGCAGCCTCAGAGATTTCACTTAGCTATAAAGCTGGAGCCAAACTCAGAGCCCTGCCTGCAGCCCTGAGCCCTCAGTTGGGAAAGTGAAATGTGTGGACAACTCCATTCCGACATGTTTGGGGCTAGCGGTGGGCACAGGATGCAGGAGACGTGTGGGTTCAGGCCTTAGTCCCGTTAAAAGCTGCTGGCAGGTCCTCTTCCTGATCAGGCCTTGGAGCTGACGTGGGGACCCTGGCCTGGCTGGCTTGGCTGCCCTGGTCTCAGCACAGTCCCCTTTCTGTCCCCAGAGCCGGACAATGATGCCCACATGCGCAGCTCCTCTCGCCCCTGCAGCCCCATCCACAAGCTGTCCAGCACCCCTCCTCGTGCAAGTCCTGTGAGAATGGGGCCATCGTACGTGCTCAAGAAAGGTTTGGAGGAGTGGGGCGGAGGGGTCCAGCACACTCTCTGCATGTGAGCTCTGGACTAGGAGTGGAAACAGTGCCTATGGCTGCCATTTTCAAGCACTGGTTGCCAGGGACTGGGCTGCGTACTTCTCTCTTTGAATGCTCATACCACCACAAGGACCAGTGTGGGGGACCCCCATTTTACAGGTGATAACACTGGGGCACGAGAGGTGAATTGCAGCCCCAGTCACGTGACTCAAAGATTTGACCCTGTGTCCTGGCAGAGGAAGCCCCAGTGCCCGTCCCTTGCCCCAGACAGACAGGTGGAGATTGGGCCTAGTCCCATGCTGTGCCCCCAGCCCAGGTCCTGACCACTGGCAGCCGAAGGCGAAAGGAGCAGCGCTACCGCAGTGTCATCTCTGACATCTTCGACGGCTCCATCCTCAGCCTCGTGCAGTGTCTCACCTGTGACCGGGTAAGTGTTTCTGGGATGAGAAAGGACTGCCTGCAGAATCAGTGGTACTCACTCCGGTTGAGGGTGGTGGAAGAGAATCTGCACCTGATGCTACCTTTCTACTGGGGGAGGACCTGGTTGCTGGGCTCCCAGGGCTTGGAGAGCGTGCTCTCTCCCCTACACTGCCATCTGGTGGCTGGAATTTGTGGTGCAGACACTGTTCAGTCAGAGCAGGGCAGGACTCTGGAAGATGGAGACCCAGGCTGACCTTCTACCCCATAGGTGTCCACCACAGTGGAGACATTCCAGGACCTTTCACTGCCCATTCCTGGCAAGGAGGACCTGGCCAAGCTCCACTCGGCCATCTACCAGAATGTGCCGGCCAAGCCAGGCACCTGCGGGGATAGCTATGCCTCCCAGGGTTGGCTTGCCTTCATCGTGGAATATATCCGACGGTACATCCACCTTCTCGCCCACTGGGAAAACAGGATGGGTCCTGGCCTGGCCTTCCTGGCACTCACAGTCTGGGCAGGAAATAGGCCTTCAGCAAAGTACAAGCATTTGCAGAGACCAGGGAGATTCTGGAAGGGAACTCGAGGCTGAAGGACGCATTGAGTTAGCTGGGTCAGGGTGGATTGGTTCCTTGGCCACATTGGGACTGCATGGGTGGTCCCGATTTGGAACCAAACGATGGGCCCATGGCGTTGGAGGACAGGAACGGGAAGAGTGAATGAGAGGCAGCTAGAAGGGCAGCAGCTAGAGTGTGCAGGCAGCTCTGCTGAGCCCTCACTGCATGCCATGATGGGAGCTTTACCTGCATGACGTCAGGGGCCCATACAGCTGCCCAGGGGAGCGGGTGCTGTGATCATCGGCCCTCACGGGTGAGGACAGCGAGAGTGGGAACAGGTGAAATCACTTGTGCAAGGATGCGTAGCTGGTGGCACCAGGGTTTGAACCCAGGTGTCTGGCTCCACACCTGTGCCCCTTCCACTCACTATGCCATACTGCCTCCCTGGCTCATCAGGGTCCTTCTGGGGCTCAGGCCTGGAGCAAACCCAAGTCCCCCCAATCTTCTTCTTGCCTGGGACCTGGCAACACCCCTGCCACCCCCTTTCTGTCTCCATAGGTTCGTGGTATCCTGTACCCCTAGCTGGTTTTGGGGGCCTGTTGTCACGCTAGAGGACTGCCTTGCTGCCTTTTTTGCTGCCGATGAGCTGAAGGGTGAGTGGACTGGGTAGGCTGGGGTGGGGTTGCTGGGAACTCCACATGGTTTTCAGGGGCTTTGTCTGGATCCTCATGCAGACACACACAGTCAACTGCTCAGGGAAATGTACAGCATAAGGTTTGTAGTATTACACTGCCAGGTTTTGCTTCAAAAGTGGACACGTTATTGTCCCACACTGCCGCCTGCATCTGGGCCTGAGGCTGCATGTTCTCTTGCGCCTCTCGCTGCCTTGCAACTCTGGGGTGGTAACCAGGTTTTAAGTTTTGCCAATTTGATGGGCAAAATGATATCTTGCCTTTCCTTAATTTTGCGTTTTCTTGATTATGGGTGAGGTTGAACTTTTTTTTTTCATAAGTGTACTGGCTGTTTGCATTATTTTGATATTTCCTGTTTCTATTCTTTTCATATTTTTCTTTTGAGTGTTTGGTGTCTTGTTAACCTTTGGGAAAACTCTTTGTATGTTAAAGATTTTAGTACTCAGTCTGTCTTTAATGTTGCATTTCCTACCTATTTTGCCTTTTAATTTTATCGATGGTGATGTTCATACATGAGTTTAAGTGTTTCCAGAGTCAAATATGTCCATTTTTTCCTGGCTGTGGATTCTGCCTTTGACGTGTAGCCAGGATCTTCCCTTCCTTTGGTTCCTTTCTGGTTTTATTTCTTAGGCATGTTCACATCTTCTGATCTCAGCCCTGTGCCCTGTTTCCCACCCTTGCTAACCCCAGTCCCTTTATTTTACTGTTCCAGGTGACAACATGTACAGCTGCGAGCGATGTAAGAAGTGAGTAACTGCTTTCCCATTCCCCACCTCTGTGGTCTGTCTGCGCTCCACAGAACTCCCCCCGGGATCCCCCAGTGTCTCTCTTAGTTAGAGAGCTCAATCCTGTCCTCACAGAGGTGACCAGGTTGGGGGAGGGGGGCTCACCTGGTTCCTCTGCTCCCCCAACACCGAGGCCAGTGGCTCCCCCAGCCTCTCTCCTTGCCCTCTCCTCCCCAGGTTGCGGAATGGAGTGAAGTACTGTAAAGTGCTCCGGCTGCCCGAGGTGAGTGGGCAGCCCTCCCCTGCCTCTTCAGCCTTCTTCTCCAAACTCACATCCTGCAGTGCAGCAAGCTAGTGGGACTGTGTGGAGGTTGATCCCCCATTCCCACTCAGAAACAGCCAGTTTCTGAGCCAAAGAGGGTCCATGGAGATTCTATAGATTTGGCCGGGAGTCATCATGGGAAGGAGAGGGCACGTTTTTCCCTTGGTAACTTAGGGTCCTCTCTCTTTGTGGCCTCAGCTCAGTCGTCGTTCAGCATGTTTGTGAGGCAGGCATGGGGCCGCTGAGGGTACCACAGCCAGTAAGACAGATGTGGCCCCGTCAGTAGCAGAGTGGGGAAATAGTGGCAGTCCTGGCCCAGTCAGGGCTCCCAGGGAAGGCCTGCCTGAGGGAGTGACTTGTGAGACCTGAAGGTGGTGTTGGCCTTGTGGAGGGAGAGTGGAACAAGCAGGAATGATCTTGCTGGAACCTGTTAAGGCCACTGTGGGTGAGCAAAGCAGAGAGTAGCCCAAGATGGAAGTTCAGTGCTCATGATGATGCTGAGCAGGTTTGGACAACCTTTGTGAAGAAGGATTCTAAGAAGAGGCACCAACAAAACTGGTTGTCAGAGTTCTTTTGATGGCCACTGACAGAGGAGGGGCCAGTGTCCTGTGGCCAGTAGGCCAGCCCTTCTTAGGAATGGCCCATCTCGGCAGCAGATCCTGCGTGAGTGTTGCTCAGCCCCAGCATCAGGCCTGGACACCTGCTGCTGGCCGTGTGACTAAAGTGAGCCTGGGTCAGCTTGCCTGTGGAGAGTGTTCTGTTCAGGTGGAGCAAGTGAGCGCCACCCCATCAGGTAGCCTGTGCACCTGTGGAAGGCTTTAGCTGCAAAGTTTCTTGTCATTTTCTGTGTTGATGACAAGGCCCTGAGTGGTTTAGGGCATGGGTCAACAGTGGCCTGGTGGGTCACTGAGAGCTGCAGGTCTCAGAGCTCTCCTGTGGGGCCAGCTAGGGTGCTGAAGTCCCAGGGCCCTAGCCAGCTCTGGGATGACCAGCACCCTCCCCTGCCCCCTCAGATCCTATGCATTCACCTGAAGCGCTTTCGGCATGAGGTGATGTACTCGTTCAAAATCAACAGCCACGTCTCCTTCCCCCTGGAGGGCCTCGACCTGCGCCCCTTCCTTGCCAAGGAGTGCATGTCCCAGATCACCACCTACGACCTCCTGTCAGTCATCTGCCACCACGGCACAGCAGGCAGTAAGTCTGGCTGCTGCCTGCTCCCAGCAGCCCTGCCCCAGTCTCCTAGGGTCCCTGTAACCTGCCTTCCTCTCCCGCTGCAGGTGGGCACTACATCGCCTACTGTCAAAACGTCATCAATGGGCAGTGGTATGAGTTTGATGACCAGTATGTCACCGAGGTCCATGAGACGGTGGTGCAGAACGCCGAGGCCTATGTCCTCTTCTACAGGTGTGAGGCGCTGGATGCAGGTAGCTCTGGTGGGGCTGGGCCAGCTGAAGAACAGTGACTGGGCCCCACACCTGCAACCTGTGGGCTCTGGGTGTCCTGCCGCAGCTGCTCAGGGCTTTACTCTGGGGATATGGCTGAGGGGAGCCTGGGAGGGGTTTAAGCTGGGGGAAGCAAGGACTGGAGTTTTTAAGAGAGAGCCCCCTGGCTGCTTTGGGGAAAGTGGAAAAGCCCAGTGGTAAGGAGCCAAGTTGGGGGCCTCTACAGTGGTCCCGGGGAGATGCCGGTGGCCAGAACGAGGGCCTGGGCAGCGGGGCTGTTGAGATGTGGACAGACCACAGAGGGGCTCAGGAGGTGGACCAGGCAGGGCATGGCTGTGTCCCCACTGTGGCAGCAGACCAGCCCAGCTGCTGCACCCCATCCACCCCTCTCCCACCCCTCCTCCAGGAAGAGCAGTGAGGAGGCCGTGAGGGAGCGACAGCAGGTGGTGTCACTGGCCGCCATGCGGGAACCCAGCCTGCTGCGGTTCTACGTGTCCCGAGAATGGCTCAACAAGTTCAACACCTTCGCTGAGCCGGGGCCCATCACCAACCATACCTTCCTCTGCTCCCATGGAGGTGAGGGTGCCTGGCCAGCTGGCCCTGCTGGGGTGGGCGGGCTGAGGGGCCGCCTCAGCGCCCAGCTCTCCTCCCTCTGTCTTCTCCACAGGCATCCCACCCAATAAATACCACTACATTGACGACCTGGTGGTGATCCTGCCCCAGAACGTCTGGGAGCACCTCTACAACAGGTAAGGAGCCCTTGTCAGCCTCTTCTGGAGAGATTGGCCTGCCTCTGCACTGGTCAGGGACTCAGCTGGGCAGGAAAGGAGACCAGGCAAGGACTGACACCCACGAACCTCTAAGCTGTCCTCACTCAGGCAGCAGAACAAGGTGGAAGCCAGCCCTGCCCTGAGGGCACTTCCCTCTGGTAGCTTTCCAGAAACACGCACAGTTGTGCCTGCAGTGAAAGAGACACATGTCATCTGTGTGAATCCATTTGGGCGCTTTCAGTCACACGGGACAGGAAACTGGCTTAGGCAGAAGCGAGCGTATTGACTTGTCTCACTGAAAGTCCTCGGGGTGGGGCTGCAGGGCAGGGCACTGGGGCCTCCGGCCCAGCCCTTTCCTTCCCCACTGGCCCTGCTCGTGTTGGCGGGGGCTCGGGCCAGTCTGGCCTGTGAACTTCCAGGTTCAGATCCAGCAAGGCCAAGAGCGCGTGACTCTCCTGCTGCAGACCAGCCAGGCCTGCCTCTCAGCAGCCCAAACTGGTCATGTGCTCATTCCCAACCCCATCATTCTTTAGCCCGACGGGTGGGATCTGCCATAGCTGAGGGATGGTCATACAAGTTGGGAAAAAGGCCAAGAAGTTCTGGTTACACCTGTGTCTCTTACTGTATTAGACTTACTACATTTAGTTGCAGGTTAGGAGCAGACTCTCTCCTTGCCCTGTTGCCAGTGGGCAGGTCAGGACCTAACAGGGAGATGCATCGTCACATCCTGTGGGGATCCCCTCAGGCCTGGGCCACATACTCTCTACCCCCTGCAGCCTCCCTTTGACATTGTCCTCAGGGTCTGGCCAGTGGAGCTCTCAGCCAGCAAAGCTCCTGCCCACTTCCCTGCCTAGTAGCCAGGAGAGGATGCAAGAGTGCTACTCCTGGCCTTTGTCCATGAAGCAGGCATTTGTGATGCACCTGCTGTGTGGCAGGCGCTCTTCTGGGTTCTGTGGACACGCTGGTGAGCAGGTGCCCATGCCGGCTCCTGTGGCTCAGCCTAGTGAGGAAGACATGTGACGGCACCGAGAGGGAGCTGAAGGAAAAGGCAGTGTCAGGGAAAGCCTCCTGGGGACCCTTACCTCCTCTGAGACCTTGAGGGAGAGCCAGAGTAACCGGTCCCATGGAAGGCGGGAATTGCTTTCTGGCAAGGGCCCGCCCCTCAGGTCTTGTGTTTCTCTCCCTCCCGCCGGGTGTAGGTTTGGGGGTGGCCCCACCGTGAACCATCTGTACGTGTGCTCCATCTGCCAGGTGGAGATTGAGGCTCTGGCCAAGCGCAGGAGGATCGAGATCGACACTTTCATCAAGGTGCTTGCAGGTTGGGGTGGCATGGGAGACCGGCTCCTCCAGCCTGTGCTCAGGACATGGTGGACCTCAGGGGCAAAGGGGCTGTGTGCAATCAGCCATTTGTTTAGAAGAAGTATTCTGTGGGAGACCAGAGTGACTGGAGGCCTGGCCAGACATTTGAGAGAATTTTTACTGATAGAAGGTGCTGGCTGAGTTGAGTAAATTAAGGTCCGTCTACATGGTGGGCTGTGAAGCAGTGGTAAAAAGAGTAAGGTAGGAATATACCAGGGCTTTTTGACCTTGGCTTTGTTGACACCCTGGGCTGGATAATTCCTTGTTGGGGGTTGTCCTGTGTGTTGTAGGTGCCCAGCAGCATCCCTGGCTTCTCCCCACTAGGTGCAAGTTACAACCCAGATTATCTCCAGGCGTTGCCAGATGTCTCACGGGCGGGGCAGACTCACCCTTGGTTGAGAACTACTCGGTTATACAAACTGAGGTGGGGAGATGCCTGAAAAAGATCAGTAATGAGAAAACCAAGTCGCAGAAACGCCTCCCAATGTGATCCCACTTAGTAAGGGCGCCTCTGTGCGTGGCCGAGGCTCCGAGCACGCCCCCTCCCTGCAGTGCTGCTGTGATGGGACTCGGGACATCCGGCCTTCAGCAGTGGAGAGGGCGGCTACAGATGTTGTAGGACACCCATGCTTCATGACCATTAAAGGATGACTGTCAGAAGAGTAGTTAAAGATGTGAGCAGATAGACGTATTCTATGAAGAGAGAGAAAAAAACAGCGTGTACCATGTGATCCGAATTGGGTTGAAAAAAGTTACTGAAAAGAGATTTACCAAAATGTGACAAATGTGACGATAGTGATGACCAGCTGTCGCCTCCGAGTGGTGGCATTGAGGGAGGTGTTTATTTTCTTTGAGCTTGCTTGGGAGTTTACCTTGAGTATCTAGTATTTTTATAAAAGTCAGGGTGAGGATGTAAAGAAAACGCCGGGACGTTTGGAAACTGACCCTCCCCTCTGGTCGCTTTCTCCCCGCCATCCCAGCTGAACAAGGCCTTCCAGGCAGAGGAGTCACCCAGCGTCATCTACTGCATCAGCATGCAGTGGTTCCGCGAGTGGGAGGCCTTTGTCAAGGGGAAGGACAATGGTGAGTAGAGCAGGGGCTCGGGCTCTGGCTCTGTGCCTGGCACTCGGCCTTCCGCCCTGGCCTCAGGAGGGACTCTGGGCTGCCATCCTCAGGAAGTGGAGTGGCCTCTGGGAGGAGGACTGTGGGGAGGATGCTGCCAGTAGATGTTGGGAGACGAGGGGCTGTGGAGCCGTCTGTGCCTCCCTTGCAGGTCTCTGGTGCTACCCTCCAGGTGAGCACCTTCCCCGGGCATGAGCTGAGGACACAGCTGCTCTCCAGGCCCCAGAGCTGGGACCACTGTTCCCAGCCCAGCCATAGCCTTCCTGGGAGTGCCTGCCCCAGGACAGGAGGCCATTCTCGCTCTGCCCTCCCCTGCTCTCCACGCCTTGCTGAGGCTGGGGAAGCCCCCAAGAGGCTGCTGTTCCTCACCTGCCAGGCCCTTCCCTTTGAGAAGTTTGTTGCCCTCAGTAATAAATTATCATTGCTAGAAGGTTTCAGACTCTCAGGAAGGACCTTGGGCACTGTTTCCTCTGGCCCCTTTGATTGGCAGCAGAGGAGACAGGCTCCATCACAAGGGAGGTTCTCAGGTCCCCTGCAGTCTCAGGGTCAGCAGAGCTGCTGGTTTTGTGCCACAGACATTTGTCTGTCACTTGTCACGTAAGCACCAGCCAGCACTAGGGAAAGAGGAGTGCTCACTGCCATCCAGCCCCCTGGGCCTTGGTGCCGGGCAGCCAGCGGCCCCTGGTAGGGGTCCAGACCGTAGGACGTGCTATGGTTAAGGATGTGATCCAGGAGTTGCAGCACTCACTTGGTCCTGGTTTTGCCTGCTGTCAGCTCTGACCTGTGCAGGTTACCTAATCTGTCTCAGCCTCAGCGTGTGCCTCTGTGAACAGTTCTCATCCCGTGCGGCTGTTGAGGAGGAAATGAGATGATGTGTGCACACTGCTAAGCGCAGTGCCAGGCACACAGTAGGGCAGTAAGTCCAGCGAGGGCAGCCACCGTCAGGGGTTAGGGCATTGTCCACCGGGCAGCAGCTCCTGCTGACAGTAGCTAGAGTCTGAAATTAGCACGAGAGTTCTAGAAATTCCCTCTGGGGGGTAGCAGGATGCCGTGAGTTCCTCCTGGCTCTCAGACTTCTGGTAGATGAGGATTTAGTGCCCCAGACACCTCACTGTGTTAAAGACTTCACACTGATCCCCTGGCTTGGGCTCCAGGGGCCCAGGACAGCCTTTTTGGGAGTTGGAGTCACCCTTTGAGAATGGCTCTGTTACCTGTGGAGGGGTGGAGGGCCCTGGCAGAGGCTGGGACTGGGGTGTCTTCCCACTGCTGGAGGGGCCCAGTGGCACTAAGCCTGAGCCCTGTCTGTTCCAGAGCCCCCTGGGCCCATTGACAATAGCAGGATCGCGCAGATCAAAGGAAGTGGCCACATCCAGCTGAAGCAGGGTGAGTCTTGCCTGGCTGGAGCCCTGGCTTCCCAGGCTGAGCCAGCTGCCTCTCTGCATTCCCTGGTTGTTGGGTTGCTACCCAGTCACGGTCCTCCCAGGAGCCCCTGCAGCCTGTCTTAAAGTTGGGTTGAGATGTCCCATCCAGGCCCAGGGTGGTGGGCAGATAGTCTGAGGCGCTTGGGCTCTGCGTGGGTCCTCAGCCCCTACTGCACACCCCCACCCATCTCTGTCACTTTCCGATGGCTCTGCCTGCCCTGCCCTTTATGTTAACCCCACCTCCAGGGAAATGGGATGGCAGCCAGAGATATCCTCTGGGGTCCTTAGCAGAGTGGACGTGACTCTGGAAAATCCTGAGATTTATGTTTGACAGCGTTGCATGAGAAGCCCATAGTTGCCCTGCCTGCCCTCTGGGGCCTGGCCCTTCTGGAGCCCCCACTGGGCGTGTCTCCTGTGCACTGTAGGAGCTGACTATGGGCAGATTTCTGAGGAGACCTGGAACTACCTGAACACCTTGTATGGAGGTGGCCCCGAGATTGCCATCCGGCAGAGTGTGGCCCAGCTTCCGGACCCCGAGAGCTTACATGGGGAGCAAAAGATCGAAGCTGAGACCCGGGCCGTGTGACTTGGTGGGCCAGTCTTTGAGTCTTCCTGGCTGGGTTCCTCCAGGGGACTCTCGGGTCCCCTTATCCCTCTCCAGAGACCCTCTTGTGTCCCTATGAGTGTCAAAAGAGCACGTCCTTGAACATACCTCCCAGGAGGCCGCTCCAAAGAGCCCTATGTGGGCTCTGGCTCTGCTGAGCAAACTGAGTGTTCCCATAGGCCCCTGCGTTTGCCCCCCTCCCTGCGGGGGTGGGGCTGTTGATGCCCCAGAAGAGAGGCTGCTGCTTTGGAAGAGGCAGAAAGGTTGTTTTGGTTCACAGTGAGTAATGCTGTAACTAGGAAATATATTAACTTCAGGCTTGTTTATACGACCAAGACTCTGTGACATTATTTTGGGTCTTTGTCCTGGCTGTGAACAGGTGAGTTACTCTTATTGTGTCCCCCAAACCTGCCCTCTCGCTTGCTTGGGCTGGACTTTTGTCCCTGGAGCCCTGGGCCCATGGTCACCTGGGCTTGGGGCCTGATGCTGCCCCATGTCAGTCACAGGCTGCTTCCCGGGGATTTTCCTCTGTGCACCATGTAAGCCACCCGAACGACTCGCAAGGTAGAGGTGGAAGTGGATGAGCGGAGTGGGGACCTCGCCGCGAGGGTGCTCACGCTTGTCACCAGAGCTCGCTCTAACCTGGCAGTCCCACTTCACCCTCCCCCACCCCATCTCTCGGGTGTAACCAGAAAGGCTCCTGAAGCCCTGGGCTCCTCTCAGACTCTGGCCTCATGACTGGGACACGAGGAGAGGGTTGGATTTCTGACAATAGGTGACATTTCTGGAGGCAGCTGGTCCCCTTCACCTGCCCTGCTGAGTGTGTCCCGGGGACTTGGCTGTGATTCGCCTCACAGCTCAGCGGTTCATCATTACGGGACATTTGCTGCACCGCCACCAGGGAGCAGGATGAAGAAACAGAAATACCTCACGTTGCTGTCATTTGCTGGTAGTGCAGCTTCCCTGGGGGCTGACGCTAGAGAAAACACTTTCCCCTTCTCCCCTACACTGCTGCCCTGTACAGACCTCACCCCAGGGGGGTTGTGGCACCAGGGGCAGCTCTCAATGTAGGTCTCTAGAAGTGTCTCTTCTGGATGCTGAGCAAGGCCACAGCTGGGTGCTGGGACCAGCCGAGCACACCGAGAACTCAGAGTCTTGTTTCTGGCGGCACTAAAGCTTTCGGATGCAACAGCTGGGGGAGGTGCTCACCTCGTAAGGGTCAGAGGAAACGGGGGATGGGGAAGGGGTTGTGGGACCAAACCCCCAAACTATTGTGGCCTTCAGTCTCCGCAGAAGCAGATGTCAGTGGAAATTCAAGCAGGCAGTTCTAGCCAGGGCCCCTGCCGCCTTTTGCAACATGTCAGCCGCTCGCTTCTGTTACATCGTTTTACCTGGAGCCTGTTCCTTCCCCGCTGAGGCAGCACGCTGATCAGAGAACACGCCACCGTTGGAATTTCTTGATGTTTGCTGCAGTCTTGTGAAAGCTGCTGCTGCAGCAAGGGGCAAGCCTCCCGCAGAGTCTCTGCAGCCTCATGCTGTACTGTCTGTGATACAGCCATCCCACCGTACAGATGGTAATCTGCCCCACGTCGGAGTGGTCTGGTTTATGTTCAGAATGTCATAATAAATACATACGCATTCCCCACACCCCCACTGTTGCCTTTGCCTTCATTGCCGTTAACTCTATTACTGGAGGGAAAATTGAAGCTTGTTGCTCGGAGGAGGGGCCACATTCCACCCTCATAGGCTGCATGGAGCCACGGCAATTAACATTACAAATGACCATCCCCAGAAAGAGGCTTTACACAGGGCTTTCTGAAACCAGAGACCATCTGGATGCTGACCAAGAGTGAGGGGAAGAGGAGGCTGGAGCCACTCTAAACACCCATCAGTGCGTTTCTTTCCTTTCCTGGAACCAGCCCCAGCCCCAGAGAAGTGGGGCCAGATGTGGTCAGTGGTTGAGGCCAGTACATCCCCCAGGCTGGTTGCCCACACTGGTGCCTGAAGGCCCCAGCCAGTCACCGGTAGACTCAGGGTGCTCCAGGGACCACTCAGAGTAGCTGCCAAGCAGGATGCTATCTTCCCCCAGGCCCGGTCAAGGGCGGGAGTTGCTGATCCTTGAGATCCAGTGAGACCCGTGCCCCGCTAACTGGAACACGCTTGCCTGTGCTGAGGCAAGGGTCGCTCTCACGGCATCTTAATTCGGGGGTTCAGCACTGGGAACTTCCTGCCATTTAGTGATGTTGGTGTTTTATAGTCACAACAGTGGACTCAGACATACCAATGAGCATGAAGGTGGCACAGGGCCGGGCAACGTTTCCTTCTGCTGTGCACAAGGCCACCACGAGTCAGAGCCGACTCGGCAGCTAACAACAGTCGTGAAAAATAATGGTCCCTGGTGTTTTTTGTTTGTTTTGTGTTTACATTTTGGGTATTTTGGGGAGTGAGAAGAGCTTGAGAATTTTATGTCTGACTTTTTAAAAAAATTGACTTGTGAAATACATCATACATGAGTGTCCAGAAACATGTTCAACATAAAGAATGATAAATGGTGACAGTGTCCCCGCTGCCCAGTATGTAACATTTCCAGGCCCTTAGAAACACCCTTTGGGCTCCCCAGTGCCCTCTGCCACCTTACCCCACCCCAGGGGGAGCTCCTCGCCTGCATCTCCTTCACCCCTCACTTTCCTTTATAGTTTTACCACATAAGTATGTCTCTCTAAGCAATATTTTCAGTTTTGCTCACATTTGAGTGTTATATACATGGAATTACATGGTATTGATTTTGTGATTTGCTCTTGTTTAACACAGAAGGTGAGAATAAAAAAGTTTTGAGGATTTATTTATTTTGGAGTTTGGAGATAGATGTTCATCTACTGTGCTGAAGGAAGGTGAGATAAAAATGGGTACTGATTTACCTTTAGTACCTTAAAATGTTTCCTTTATATTTTTCTCTTGAACTATCAGGCTTTTAAGGGGCTTGTTCACACTTAGATGCTGTAATCTGAAGACGAAACACGAGGCTGTGGCTGTTTACCTCACAGACTGAGCCGCAGACAGGAAATGCTCAGTGGCAGGCGGAGGCTGGGGTCTTTCTCCGACGCGACGCCGTCCCCACATCAGACTTTCCTCTAGGTTGGGTGTGGGAATCGCTCCAGCAACACCCTTCTTTAGTGGACCCAAAAGCCACCCCCGGCTGACTGGAGCTGTTTGTGGGCCAACTGCTGCCTGTGTCTGAAGGCCTTTGTGCCTGCTTGTGGTTTTGCTCACAAACCTGTATCAGAAAACACAATTGCATGATGCAGCTATCCAGTATGTTTAGTTTCCTACTTTTGTTGTATTTTAAATTCAGGGCAAACATAAATTATATTGAGAGTCTTACACTACCTAGTTTTGCTCCCTGGAGAGCCTTTGGGAAGTACGGGGTGTTTTGGAATCTTACCTCCCTCTAGCTCTTTTCCCTACTCCAGCTTTTCCTATAGCAGAGAGAGAATGTTCGTTAAAGCAAAGTGAGCTGTTGCTCAGGAGAAATTAATGCCTTCGGGAAAAGCTATGAAAGAGAGTTACAAACATTTTGGACAAATTATGTTCTGGAAAGCTGTCCCAGACATGTAGTCTTATCCTTCTATTTGACATCAACGACCAGCCCAGATGAGTGGGCATCTGGAGGGCTGGAACTGGGGGCAGGGTAGTTAAAGGACTTGGGTGGGGCTCCCCTTAGTTCAACCGGGGATGTGCACATTGTATGGACTCACAGGCAGCAACCTGTCCTGGCTAGGATGCTGGGGGGCACTGAGAGGATTCTTCCCCACCCCACAGCGGATTCCGGGGCCCAACCGAGGAGAATTAATCCCTGTGTTTCTGCCTGCAGCTTCTGGCCCCTTGGCTCTGAGGACAAAGGCACATGAAGGCCTTTCTCAGCTTCTGCTGTACCTTTTGTGGCCCAGAGATGTCCCAGCTGATTGGAGGTAATTTAACTAAATGTCACTCACCATACCATCCGGACAGAGACAGAAGTATTTAAATCAGGCCCTAAAGGGCTCTCCATGCACCTCTGGAGAAATAGCTGCTGATACACATAAAGCTGCTACTTAGTACCAGTTTGCAGCCTCCCGTATTTCAGAGGGGGCTGGCAACACTGATTATGGCCACCCCTTCTCGGGGAGGGTCAGCAGAGGCCCGGAGGAGAAGGGAGGAGGCTCATCTCTCATCTAGGTGGCTGATCAGAGTCAGGGCACCAGATTTCTCACTGCTCAGGACACCACCCTGGGGTATCACCAGAGCTGGGTCTGCGGTTGTTCAATCTGCCCCCTCCTGCTCCCTTCCTCACTGGAGACTGGCACCATTCATCCTTTGCAGCAGCAATTCCCGTGGATTTTGCAATTTGAGAGATCACTTTTCCTTTAACAAAGGGGGAGGGGCAAACCTGAATACCACCCCCGTCCCTGCCTGATAGCCTGTCCACTTCTGCTTCATTCCTAGTCACCCTCTAAGTTAGGGACTGGGTTGTTCCATCCTTGCCCACGCTCTGACTGTGGCTTCCAACTTTGGCTTCCTCTAGGGGCCCCACCATCACTGTGCAGATGAGCTGCCGCAGGTCTGGGCACGGCCCTCGGGGGCGTGGGCGGGGAGGGGAGAGCGGAGGTGGGGCACCGCAGAGCCTTGGTTGGCAGGGACAGGCTTGGTGATGATGCCCAGGGCAGGCAGTATTTCCAGACGGACCTGAGGAGCCTGACCTACTGGTCAGTGATGTGTTTGCTGACAGGGCTGCTGCCTCACCGGTGCCTTCTGACTCAGGAGTTCCTACTGAAGGGAAAAGCTTCCCGAGTGCACCTGAAAACCGAATTGTGCGGTAGCACAGCTCCTAGTTACCAACTCCGCTGTTTCCAACCCTGCACGGTGGAAGTGGGATGACTGGAAGCTGAAGGTTCATGCCTGGATGGACAGGTTGAGAAGCCAACTCCCCCAAACACTTCTGCTGAGTAGGTAGATGAAGATGTGACAAACTGGGCAACATTTTTATGTTTCAAACCACAGTGAGCTCAGAGCTTGGAGTTGCAATTTATGTCCTCTGTCAGAATAAAACAATCTCACAAGAATTTTGAAATAAGCTCTGAATCATAGCTAACATTTGTGAACGGCTGCAGTTTATCACCAAGTGCTTTCCCAACATTCACCTGTTATCACAGCAGCTTCCTGAGGGTGATGATATCCTCACCCTACAACTGAGGAAACTGAGGTGGAGCCCGAGTCCCAAGTCAGCAAACTCAGTCCAGCCTCCTCAACATCCGCAAGGTTCTTCAGGGCAGGAGGGCCCCTAAGGGAGACAGGTGGAAACATCCATCTCTCACACATAGATAGAGCCTATTCCCAGAGTAAGACAAAGCCTAAAAAGAACATGCTGTTAATATTCTTCCTAAATTAAGCTTTTGCTGGCAACCTAGACAAGGGGGGCTTCAGTCAAGACAATAATAGATTCACCTTGTTCCTTTGTAGCACAGTTTCATACTGAAAACAAAACAAAAAACCCAAACCAGTTGCCCTCAAGTCAACTCCACTCATGGCGACCCCAGGTGTTGCAGAGTAGAACTGCACTCCACAGGGTTTTCAAGGCTGGTCGCTAGACCTTTCTTCCAAGGCATCTCTGGGTGGGTTCAAACCGCCAACCTTTTGGTTAGTGGTCGAGTGTTTAACCATTTGCACCACCAATTCTTGATTATTCAGAAGCTTTGGCTCACTAATACCTTTATCGACCGTCCTTCCCAGGCACTAATGACAACAGAAGGAGCTCGCAAAGATCTGGCTTTAAAAGCCGATTCCATCAATTTGTGGGAAGAAGCTAAGGCTACAGTGAAGTGTGGCCATTATTCGGCATTTTCTCTGATTGATGACCTCACCTCCCACTCAGCAAGTTAACTGACAACTGGCATTAGGGGCTACCCTGTCGGTACTTGGTGTAGCTGGTAATATTCCATTCCCTGAACGACTGTTTTCCTACAACAGCTCTAAAGAACCTTAGAAAACAGATATGGGCACAAACCAATCATATCTTCCCCTAAAAGACTGGGTGATGTTTTCAAAGCAGGATATGGAAAAAGCCCCCCCCCCCACACACATCCCATAGTGTCAGGCGCAAACCCTCCCCCCCGCCCCCGGTAAATCGTCCAGAAACAACTCAGAGCTTCATGCAAAATTATTGAGTCCAGTCAAGCTACCAAGAGTACGGGTTTGAGCACTTGTGACACCAGAACACCAATGAAACACAAACGTGCTCGAATTTCACTTCTCCCACAGGGTCCCTGAAAAGCTAGATTAGCTGCCTGCTGAAAAATTCTAATGATAATGACCCTCCCCAGCTCTCTAGACTGCATCCGTCTGAATCTCACATCAACAAGGTCTCTAACAGCTTCCCCCTCCAGGGGGTGGGGGAGGTACTTAAAAAAAAAAAAAACAAACCAAACGCGCTGCCATCCAGTCAATTCTGACTCATAGAGACCTTTTAGGACAGAGCAAACCTGCCCAACTGGGTTTCCAAGGCTGTAATCTTTATGGAAGCAGACTGCCGCATGGAGTGGCTGGTGGGTTTGAACCGCTGACCTTTTGGTTAGCAGGCAAGCACTTAACCACTGCGCCACCAGGGCTCCTTAGTGGGGGAGGGGGAGTATTTAGAGCTTTCTAAGTCCCAAGCCCCTCCCTGAGCCAGTGGAGATGTGACTTGTCCTGAGTTTACACAGTAAGTTAGTACCAGTGCAGACCAGAGCCTAGCGCTGGCCCTTCTCAGCCCACTGGACTTTTAACACCACTAGGATGCATCTGTGACTAGGGTCACCTCATCGTGGAACAAAACAATCCCATGATATTGTGCCAGAAGTTATACTTTTATTTAACATTTAGAGGATTAACATATAGTTACAAGGTCGATACAAGCCTTCCAGTGGAAGCACTTTATTTGGTTTAATTCCATCTTCAGAGACAAAGGGGCAATTCCAGGACCTTCACAATGGCAATGGGCCTTTACAACACTGAAATGCCTCCAAAGTTTAGAATTAGTGCAACACACACAAATAAACAACAACAACAAAAAATTCAAAGGTGCATCATGTTAAAATAGATCATTTTCTAAAAAAGTTTTTGATGACATAAGCACAGGAGGCAGAGCCAATAAGAAGCATGAAACCAAAAGTTCTGGAAAAATACTTAGCATTAACAACTTTTTCATGTTCAGTAAACGTCTAATTACAGATGTTACCAAAAGGCGTTGGAGGCCTTTGTGCTACTGCTGGTGAGGCAAGCTACAGGTTTATCTCGACTGCGGGGAACAACCTAAAAGCTTCAAGATGAGAGTGATAAAAACTCAAACGAAAATCCCACTACAGCTTTCCATGCCTTTTTATTTTTTCCTATCCTAAAAAGGAAAAACGGGGTAAATGACGAGTTCCTCTCTTTCATTCTGTTTTTAAGTCACTTTCAGGGCAGGGTCTTTAAAAATCAGTCATTCTTACAACACAACAATATTCTAGCACTGGTGGAGAAACGACAGGCGGTGGATAGGGGGAGGAATGAGAAGCAATTTCTACTATATGTGAAGTGCTCCGTAATAATATATAGATGATTTCACAGTAGGATTCCCAGAGTAAATGATATATCTCAACTGTCATCTATAATAACTTATTTCCTTTAATAAGCCCAGCTGGTACGGCATTGCTCTTTCCACATAGCCACACAAACTGGCAAAAAAGCAAACAACAAGGTTAAACATTTAAAAGCGCTCATTTTCCATTCTTTTTTTGACCCAGGTAGTACAGAAGAAAAAAAAAAAAAAGTCACAGGGAATACAAGGGGAGTAACAAGCATATACTGGGTTTACTAGACATTAAAAGAACAAATTACAGCAGCTTATACTTTTTTCCCTATGTTGCAAGAAATTAATCTCTCCTGACCCGGAATATGAAAGATGTAATGCACATGCATTACCGAGGCTGTAAAAACAAACAAACAAAAAAACCCATTCAGCATCCTTACAGAGTAGAGAGTGGTCAGCTTAACTTGGTGATGTTCAGAAGTTGCTGGAGATACCTGGCCGTCTGGCTGACAAAGAGCCCTGCCTGTAGCTGCTGGGACCTTATTAACCATGCATCTGTTGGTATGCAGAGCCAGAGGGGAGTTCCTGACCCTCCTCACCTTTCAGCATCCTGGCTTCGATTTCGTCTGCCAAACCAGTCCTATTGTTTGACTGATGAGTACGCTACAGTAGGGTTGCCCACTGTAGGGAATGGAAGCCCGTTGCTACTGCAGCAGCCCAGGGGCTTCCACAACTCTCCAGCAGGTACAGTTCTCAGTGCCCGTTCTGCCTTCCCAGCCTCCATTCTGGGGAAGAAAGAGTGAGAGAAGGCTCATGCTCGCTCTCTTTTTAAATCTGAAGCCATTTCCTCTTCAACTGCCTACCCTTGGCATTTCCTCGCTTGTGGTTTCTAGCCACTGAGGGTTGACTGAGCTGCTCCTGAAGCGTGGTGTGTGGTCAACCCTAGTTTGGTGAGAGGAGTTATTTTCCTCATTTCCACACAAGCAACGAACCACTGAACAGAGCTGGGCCAACCCTCAGGATCTGTACTTGCAGTCCCTGCCCCTTCGGCTCCTGCGAGAGTTCCTCGTCTTAGTTTCATGAAAATGGAGAAGACTTGAAAATGCTCGAGGTGACCCACCTGGTTACCAAAAGCCAAACAAAAGGATAAAGATGCCTGATTTCATCTTTAGGCTTCAGATGGCGTTCTTGTTCACAGAAGCTCACAGCCAATTTCTCTCGACTTTTCCGCACCAAATGAGAAGAGAAGCTACGCTGCTCTAAGGCGTGAGTGGCCACAAGTTACATGACCCAGTTTTTCCTCAAAGATCCATAAGGGGAAGGAAACTAAGCTCAAAAAGCAAAGTCAGTTAACTCAGGGCGGCCTAGAGAACACGTGATAAAATACTGAAGCTGTAGCCACAGGACCACTTGAAGGACCACAAGAGGCACAGGGTCTTTGGTGGTGTGGTGGTGAAAGTGCTACAATCCTAAGATGCAAATCTTGGAATTCACAGAAAGAAGAGGAATGTCAGCTTTGCAATGAGCTAGTGCAGAGGTGAGATCCTCATTCACAAAGTGCCCCCATCTGCAGTTCTCATTAATGGGGAGACAACAGGAAAAAGATGGGCTGGGCTGGTCCCTGACCTTATGGAAGATGGACACAGGCAAGCCGCAGGGCTAGGCCTCACGCTGGAATTTGACTTCCAGTTTAGACTCTCCCGGCCACTGAGGGCAGGGTTCCAAAAAAAAAAGTATGTGTGCACGCCTACCCTGGCATCCACCACAAAAGCTGTGGGGCTAAGAAAATGTTGAAAGAGCTAAGATTCAGTATGAGCAGAGCTCAAAATTAGAAAAGGACCAATGAATAGTTAATGGACTTTGGAAAGATGGTGCAGTTTCTAACGTAAATGATACGGGAATACGAACACGACATAAGGGTGCTCAGTCCACCTGGGAAGTCTGACCCTCCTTATCCAGATTCTGTTAGTCTTCTCATAGACTAGTGGCAAAGTTTTCACAAAAGGCACGGTGTGAAATGAGGATTGGTTAGGACCAACACCAGGTGGACTGAGGGCTAAGGAGCCAGTGAAAGGGAGGGAGCTTGTCGGGTGGTCTTCCCCTGCCTATGCAGAGCGGGAAGAGCACAATCCCAGAAAGGCGGCCAGACTGGGCCATGGGAATCGCTGAGCCACAAGAAGCATACTGTAGAAAGAAAAGAAATAAAAAGGCAAGCAGCTCAGCAGCGTGGGGATGTCATTTCAGGTTGAGATTTCAAGTGCTACACTCCAGAGCAGACCAGAGTCTGTTCGCACGGGTGCTTTCGAGGCCTGTGGAGACAAGCAGACCGAGTGGTTTCTCCTGGGAAGGCTCACCCCGAGGCTCTGGCTCCTGTACACCACCTTTAGGAATCTACAACACAAAAAGAAAGAGAAAGAAAAACTTTCTGTTAGAGAGGAAGGCAGCAAGTTAGAGGCGGGCATTTTGCACTTTCAATGCAAATGGTCCCGCCCAGGTGGAGGGGGGAGGGGAAGAGGAAAAGGGAGAAGGGAGAAGAAGGGAGGAGGGGAGGGGTATTTTTAGAGCAATTGGTTACCACAGGCTCATTGAGATAAGGAACTTTCACGGTTTCATCTCCAGTCATTAGCTGGTCTATACTTCAGGGTTAGGAGAACCACCCTGACTCATCTTTTTAATAAATGTAGTTTTGACAGAAAGAATGAGATGTGATCAGCTTCCCAGTACAATGCAAGGAAAATAAAGGCCCGAGTTCTCTCTGTCGGAAACTCCTGGTTCTCTAGCAGTCAAGTATAAAATCTCTGGTGAAAAGGAAAACTTATCACTCAATGTTCCCTCAGCAATAAACAGTGAAAGTTCTTCAGCTTGAGGAGGTAGAAAAGAAACAGGAGAAACACAGACTTTTTAAGCCCTTCAGTACATACAGGGTAAGAAACAAGGAAGTTGATATCATTTAAAAGAAAAAAAAGTAGAATTTTAGAAAAGCATTTGGCTAGGAAATTCCCCAGTATTAAAGATGAAAGAGTTAAATACTCATATTACACAGAATACTTTTCTTGGAAAGGTTTAAAATCATTTAAAATACACAACATCGAGAAAAATATAACGTTTATTAGAGAGGCAGATGTGAGGGTACAACTAAAAGATGCCAGACAGATTCTTTTCTTGTAGAATAAGAACAGAAAGAAACAGTCACGTTGGCTGTATTCAAACAAAACTTACTCAGAACCCAAGTGTCTAATAAAGGCAAGTGTGGAGCAGGCAGCAGGGAACCTAGCTACCAATGTAATAGTCCTTGCAGCCTCTCCAGCCGTTATAAAAACAAAAAGGTCATCAGGCAGCAGCATAACCAATAAAACAAACATAAAAGAGTATAACGTTAAAACAACTAAATCAAGTAATCCTTTTAGTTTTTAATTTGCAGTATATACAAATATACTCTGGGGGGGGAATTATGGATATATTGAACAGAGAACAATTGAAAACACAAAAACAAAGCCACAAAGAAGTCACAATCCAGTTGACCGATTGAAAAGTACTCTAGTCTAAATATTTTGGCAATTGTTAAATAACCACAACTTAAGACACCACACCAAAAAGTGCACTGGCATTATTTAAAATAAAACAACTGCTTTGAGTTATGGACACAGAAAGCAAGCAGCCTCACCCACAACAGGGAGTTGCTTGCGGTGAGGCCTGACAGACTGATAAACAAGGTAGGGAGGAAGGGCTTCTGCACACACATTATCAACCAGTCAGTATATCTCTAAATGAAAGGAAGAAAACTTAATAAACCACCTGAGATTTTGCTTCTTTTATTTTTGCAGACAACTGTTGGAAGAAAACAAACTGCTTTGGGTGGAAATATAAATTCCTGATGGTTTGGAAATTGTTTCAATACTTTTTCTAATACTTTACACATTGACTACAGGAACTGAAACTACAAAATATCTTTAACTGTTTAGTCAATATTACTTATATTCATCTGTTACAGGTGCTGAGGTACATCATTTAAAATAAAATAATGATCATAAATTTATGCACACAAACTGCTCCCCCTGCCCCACCCCACGCAAACCAATGGAGCTATTTTCTGAATCAGATTTGCGCAACTCCAAAGAAACAAAAAAAAAATCACCTTCACAGAATGCCATACTTTTCAAGGCAGGCTTTTAAAGGCTATGTTGTCTTGCCCCGTTTTAGGCTTTTTCAGTATTTAGCTTGCTTTCTCCAGTAGTTAACAGTCTGGACATTAGTTTATCATCGGATAGATTTTAACATCTTAGATCTCCCATTCATTTGGCTACATGCCTAAAGCTGTTAAACTCATAAAAAACCAAAAACCAACTGCCACGGAGTCCATTCCAACTCACAGTGACCTTATAGGACAGAGTAAAACTGCCCCACAGGGTTTACAAGGCTGTAAATCTTTTACAGATGCAGACTGCCGTATCTTTCTCCTGTGGAATGACTGGTGGGTGCAAACTGCAGACCTTGTGGTTAGCAGCCGAATGCTTTAACCACTGTGCCACCAGGGCTCCTTGGTAACCTCTTACATTGTTCATCAAAACAAATTTCTGTGGTCAGCTGGTTTTCTTGCTTCAGTACTTAAAAAGGAGAACTGAAACAACTGCCCTGAGAAGGTCTGCGGTCAGGATGAGTACTTTTATCATGTTAGCAGAGACATAATAATTCCAAGTAAGATAAAATTTTTACATTTTAATGATTTAGTTAGATAGACAGGTAGATAGATTTAAAATTTAAAAAAAAAAAAAAAAAAAAAAAACCAGGCTGACCAGTGTCCATTTCCTGGTTGCCACAGTGTACTATAACTGTGAAAGATGTAGCCCTTCATCGTTGGGAGAAGCTAGGTGAAGGGTTTGTGGGATCTCTCTGTTTATCTCTGCATTGGAGAACCCATAATTATTTCAAAATTAAAAGGCTTTTTGTTTGTTTGTTTTCAGTCAGGCTGTTGTTAAGTAAAGGTTACTAAATTCCATTCTGGTGGCCCTTGTGAAATTTGAGGTAACTCGCTGCTACTCTTGAAACAGAGGCCATCCAGAGCAACAAGCACCCATAACTCCTGCCAGGTGCCATTCCTTGATGTGATGCTGTAGCTTTTAAAATCAGCTTTTAATTGACTTGCGCTTATAAAACGACCCAATAATGTAAAGGCAAGAAGGTAATTTTCCTATTCAAAAGTAGAAAGGACATGAATAAATAATTTTCAAAGTCAAGTAAAGAGAAAGTCTAGCCCAACGCCTTTGTTTTGATCCATTTTTTCCAGTTGTCTGCGATCTTGGTGTAGAGTCTCATTATTGGGCCCATTTTAGCACTAGGCTGGGTAACTGTCTATGCATGCGACCAATTTCACTATCTATTCTTCAGTGCCAATTTCTGGCTTCAGTGCCAATTTCTGGCTTCAGTGCCAATTTAAGAATGTGGCCCAGATTTCTTTAAAGAGGATGAGAAATTTTATTTTATTCTGGCTAAAGTTAATCACATAAATTTACAAAATGAGCCATTATGTTTGCTGCTTAAAACAATTTCCAGTAAATTCAAAATCAGAGTCTTAAAGATGCCAATTATTAAACCCCCTCCCAACTTTGAAAAGTGATATGCTGAGACCAGTGTCTGTGTGTGGAAACAGCTGCTCCCCAACTTGGTCCTCTTTGCAGACCACCTGGGGAAGTATGAGCTGAACACAGCCCCACTCACCACAAACCGCCAATAGAAACAACTAAGTGTGAGAAAATTATGAAGAAAGGGAACTGAGGTGTGGACGTGCACTGCTTTTACATAAGCTGATCTAAATGGCATTGACATATCTGATCAACTGGGTCAGTCTGGTGGAGGGAAGATGAGTAGCGTCATCTGGAAAAATCAACTGGTTAATTCACCATACTTTTCCAGATTTCAGTTGGTTGTTCAGAATCATATGGGCAGAATAGGATAACCTGAACTAACAATGATTTTAACCATGTTTATGTAAAACATTTTTAGTGCCACTATAAGAATTTTCTTCTTTACTGAGGAATACCTGGGCGGTGCAAATGGTTAATGTGCTTAGTTGCTAACATAAAGGTTGGAGGTTTGAGTCCACCCGGAGGGTCTCAGAAGAAAATGTCTGGCGAACTACTTCTGAAAAACCAGCCTTTGAAAACCCTACGGAGCAGTTTCACTCTGACACACATGGGGTTGCCATGAGGTGGAGTCAACTCCATGGCAACAAGTTTAGTCTTTACTCAAGAGGGGGAGATTTTATTTTACTTACAACTTCCTCTAAAGTGAATGGAAAATTTAACAAACTAGCATAGTTCAGTTTATTGAGTTACAAATTGTAACATTCTAATGTAGTTTCATTTATGGTGGATAATAGATATAAATAAGAGAGCTGAAGTCTTCTTCTGCACCCCTGTGATGTGATGTGATGTGATGTGTGTGGACTCTTAAACTCAGAAAATCGATTAGAAGCTAAAATACAGCTTTTTTCTTTTTTTTAATCTACAGACACTGCCAAAAGAAGAAACGTTTATCATATTTCAAATGACACAGTTGTAAATTGGCAACTGGCAGCTTTCCACATAAAACTTCATCTTAGCAAGTGAAATTTGATTATAGTCAAAATCAGCCAAGGAAATTCAGGTGTGCAATTCCTAAACATCCACTGTGTGGTTATATGGAAACATGGACTGTGATGCGCTCCATCCAGTCTTTTGAAGAACTGCCTGCAACAGTCATAGTTGTGGGGAGAAACAACTCCAATTTTTTTTTAAAAAGTTTTTTTTAAGTGGTATTAAATATAAGTCTTAGCACCTTTGGCATTTTTGTCCAAATAGACTTCGACATATGAAGTGGGAACATAACCCTCTTCATCTTCATTTCTCCGAATGCGGGTCCACCCATCACCTTTGTCTTCCTCTATAACATACAATGTTTCGCCTTCAACTACTGAAATGGTTCCTTCATTCTGACCTGAAAAGACAATTATCAGAGTATTTTAGGTTTCCTGTTGAATTCAGGTAGAGAGCAAACAGGGACCTATGTGATGCAATGGGTGTGATAAAAGTTGAGGTCCGGGCAAAATTCACCCCCATCTGACTTCTCGCACGCAGTTACCACCGATCCCACTGCACCAAATTTCCTCCTCCTACATAGATACTTCTGAGTTCTTACCTTCTGTCTCTCTAAGGCTCTTTCTCTAATTCCTCCAATGAGCCCTCTTTCTCCCCCTTTCCCAAAACAAAGGGTTAAGTCTTTGGTCCTCTTCTGTAGTCTTACTCTGTCCTTCTTGGATTTCTCTCTTGGGGTGAAAGCACTCCCATGCCTTCAATTACATCTTATAAAACAATAACCCTATATCTCTTTCTCATAATTCTGGTCCTCTTCCTACTGCCTGCAGCACATTTCCACCTAGATGTTGCCCCAGCTCCTGAAACTCAACTCACTGTTTTTCTTCCAAACCAGAGCCCCCTTAGTATTTCCTGTTTCAGTGGACAGCTCCGTTCTTCCAGGAATGCAACTTTGGTAATCATCTTTGATCGACTCCCCTTTGTTCCTGACTTCCAATCAGCTGTGAGCATGACCAGTTTGTCACCTGCAGCCTCTCGTGTCTATTTCTTAATCAAGACCCCCAAGGCCGTTGGCTAAGATAATTTCAAATAACTAGCCACCACTCCCCAAACTAGTATTCTGAAAGACAAATTGTTTAGGGAGCTGTTAATAGGGGTATTGTGGAGAGGGAGGGAGGTTTGGATGTGGAGTAAAACTGGGAACATTTAAACTGGTATTTCTCTTTCTGGTTTTGTCACAAAGAACACTGAGTCTATTTAAGGCTCTGAAGGGTCCTATAGTAAAGAAATCTATAAAAGGCATTTATCTCAGGGCTTCCAAAACTTATCTGAGTTCTAAATGCTTTTTTTTTAAACAGCATTCTTATTAACATTCTGCAGGACATTGTTTCAAAGGTTATCAGTTTGGGAAATGCTAGCCTAGTCTTTCTAAACACTATCACTGTTTTCTAATCCACCCTACATATATCACACATAAATCTCCTAAGGTACAGCTCTGATTATGTCAACACCCTCCTTTCCTCACTATTCGCCAAATAAAATAAAAATGTTTCTCTTACCCAGCCCCGCAACTGACACCTCCCACTTTCTAGTTTTGTATTCCACTATTACCACCTAACACATCTAAGCTGCACGAACAACCCCATGCTTTCCTCATTTCCATGTTTTGGAAATGCCCATCCCACTGATACACTGCAACACCAAGTGTTCTATAAACCTCTTTAAGGAGCTCTTCTGTAAACTCCCCCCTCACTCTGTACCCCTTTTTTGGTAAACACTGCAGGCTGCCCTCTCCTATATGTGTATCTGCTTTATTTCTGTAAGAGTGGGTGCCACCCATACCACCTGTGGCCCTTCTCTTCAGGGGTCTTTATAAGACAGAGCTCTATAAATACTGAACAAATGGATAAAATAATCATCATTCCAGTTAAGCTCATGGATAGTTGTTAAATTTTATGGACCGTAAGTCAAAATATATAGTCATCCAGCAAATAACAACAATACCAGGAGTAGAACAAAAGAATAACAGAAAAAGATTTGGAAAACTTCAAAAGAAAGTTCAGATCACAGAAACAGAAGAGTGACTCAGATACAGTTTATAAAAAAAAAAAAAAAAAAGGAAATTAGGCTGACGTAGAGAGTCACCTTCAAACATGTAGAGAGCTTTACAAGTCCCTATGGCTGGAAGGGGCTCCTCGTCATCAAATTCGTCATCGAAATCTGTGGCCAGCACCTTCACCTCACTCTCCTGACTTTGCTCCTCTGTGTAACTGCCATCTGGGCTGCTCAAGAAAGAAAAACACACAGCAACTATAGCAACTGACTTCAGTAAGGACTCAAATTCAGTCCATCTTAAATCGTTCTGTATGCTTAGATCACCATTCTACGCTGAACTGTAAATTTGCACCATGGGAAAAATCAGAAGTCAACTGTAACAGGCACTTTGGTATTGAACAAGTGCTTATGCTCATTTCCAGATTCCAAAATTTAGGAATAAATACAAAGCAAAACCACTCCTTTGCAGAAGGCAGGCTAACAAAACAGGCAGTGCCATACAGATACTGTACCTCTCCCGGTCTTGAGCACAGTTACTGACTGACGGTGGGTTTTGGGCATCATACATTCCACTCTGTCGGCGGGCCTGTTCACTTCGTGCTGGAAGCCTGCCTTCAACCTCAGCCAGCCAGGCCTGAAAACAAAAACAATGCAAGACTCTGGCCTGAACTCAACTGAGGATAAGATTACAGAGTCTAAAGCACAAAACTCAAGGGTATTTAAGCCAACATGAAAACACCGTATGGGGCCAGAGTCTCCAGTTTATCTGCGTTTGACCTTATAAATGTACTCAAAGGCAACTACTTAAATTTATCCAAAGTCGGAGAACTAGAAGTAAATTCACATTGATGCAATTTTTTGCAATGTGGCAGAAAACACTGGCCTCTATTACATTCTTGGGCTTTCAAGCAGCTATGTGACCTTGAACGAGTCACTCTTAATTCTTTCTGGTTCCAAAAATTCTGTGACCGTGAGGTCAAACTGGCAGTTTGCACTCAGTTTGGATAAAATTATCTTCAGCAACATTTGAAATAATGAAAAGTAGATGTTATGGGTTGAATTGTGTCCTCCAAAAAGATATGGTGAATTACTAATGCCCATATCTATAAATGTGACCTTGTTTGGAAAGAGGGTCTTTGCAGATGTAATTGGTTAACATGAGGTCATACTGGAGCGGAGTGGGCCCTGATCCTCTATAACTGTTGCCCTGATAAGAAGAGGGGAAGAGACACAGAGACAAAGAGACAGAAGCAGAGGGAAAATGGCCAGGTGGAGACAGAGGCAGAGACTGGAGTGCTGCTGCCACACGCCAAAGAACACCAGGACCGAGAAGAGCCAAGGAAGGAAGGGTTCCTCCCCGAGAGCCTGCGGAGAGAGCATGGCCCTGCCAACACCTTGATTTTGGACTTCTAGCCTTCAGAATTTTGAGAGAATAAATTTCTGTCGTTAGCCACCGAGTTTGTGGCACTTTGTTACTGCAGCCCAAGGAAACTAATACAGGAGGCAAAAGAATAAAAATAATCAGAAAAAGACATTTCTAGCTTCTACCAGATCAGTTGAACCATAGTAACTTATTGACGGATTTTAAAAAGAATGAAAAAAGCCGTGTTTGACTCTTCATTGTTAGAAATAATCAATTCTGATTAGAATTAGTTGCTGGTTTATTTTTCCATGCGCTGCAGTCTTTAAATTTAAGGCAGAAAAAAAAGAGGCTTTTTGTCCACAGCTTCCGAGTGCTCCTCTCTCTCACATACATAACCTTTTTGATAATGGGTGTTCTGAAAGGACAGTAACATACTACAAATGATTTTTTAAAACTCCCTTTTTGATTCACTGAGATGACAAAGGATGGTATGCTTCCGATTATATTCATTATTAACATGAAATGAAGCAGAGCAAACTAAAGTGAAGTGCTTAAATTAAAAAAAAAAAAACTGTATACACAAATACTGCTTTAAACAGTGTCAGTTTTAAGGGGCACAATTAAGATGGGATATGCTGTGAAGCAGAACATTCAGTAGATGACAGTATTTTTCCTTTTATCATAACTCATGAAACAATCTGACATTCCAGACTGTCTCCCCCCCCAGTGAAAGAAATGGTGGTGATACTCTAAACCAACATACACTTAATGGCACCTATTTCTTTTTCTTTTTTCCCAACAAGAACTTTTCAAGAACGGCTTCTTCATACCTCAAATTTCTGGACCTCTAGTCGCAGTTTTTCTATATTTTGGCCAACTTCTGTTAATTTGTGATCCAAACTGGCTGGGTCTCCCATTTGTGGATTCTTTAGGTAGACATCTTTCATTTTTGTTATGGCATCTCTGAAAATAAGAATGAGCAGGACATGGTAAAAGTTAGTGTTTCAGTCAATTATATTCTCCCACCACTTTGAAACCATGTGAATGGAGTGTGGGAAGATTATATGAGTATAGATTTGAAGGGAATACTGGAGCCAGCTTTCATTCTAAACATTCTCTATAAGAATTCTGCTACTAAGATCTGTATAACCCAGAGATTGATTTTTAAATTTCTGTCCCTTTTCTGGGTAGTATCGCCTATTGTCTCCAGTAAGTGATAAACAAATTGATCCTGCCTTTCCCTACGCTCAAAACAATAAAACCCAAATATTTCCATGTGCACGTTCTTCATACAAACCAAAGCTACAAAGCTACAACTGGCATCTTAGGTCTCGTGGGTGAGAATATGTTTACCTCATGAAGAAGCACACTGTTAACTGCTTTGGAAATTTCATTACATACCATTTCAACTATTAAGAATGAAACCAAATCCACAGCTGGTATTCATCACAGGCGGGCAATAGAGCCTTAAAGCTACATCTTGCAAGATTACATGCCCTTCCTGAAATCATGTTTTGTAAGCTCGCGCACAGTAGCCAGAGGGAGGAGTGCCTAGAAAAGCACTGCAGGCATGTTTGGGGGCTATCTCTAGGAGTTAATTTTAACCCCTGCTTAAAGACACTTATGACAGGGTTAGAATTGTTCCAGGGTTAGTGCAAACGACTCTTTGTCAGGTTAAGGAGCCAACTTTAATGAGCTTCAGCAAAAGAAAATCCAAACCAATCATACAACACAAGGTCAACAAACCAAAAAACATATTCTGAGTCATTTTAAACTGAGTTTAACTGAAAATACGGAAATAACAAGAAGAGAATATCCACAAATCCTCACCACCCCTCTACCCCACGACTAGCATTTGACCCTATATATGCTGCCTCCCCTCCTTAACACTGATGAGCTGTTAGCTCCTCCCTGAGGCCAACCTCCATTTGAGCCCTAGCTCCACCTGGACTGCCGGCCCCCTTATCTTGCTATGTTTTTTTTTTCCTATAGCATGTATCACTTTCCAACATTATATAATTTATTTATTTATTATTTATTGTCTGTCTCCCTCTACTAGAGCAAAAGTTCTAGGAGGGCAGGGATCTTTATTTTGTTAACAATGTATCCCAACTGTCAGGACACTACCTGTTACATAGTAGATGCTCAATAAATATTCATTAAGTGAATAAATGTTCCTACAACCAACCGTAATGTTGTCCATCTTTACAAAAACCTTCTCTTGACTCCAAGGCCTTCACCTCCATGCACCACCCTATTTTTCAGTGAAATTCATTATCTTCAATTCCTCTCTTCCCTGTGTCTCTTGATTAACCTCTCCAGAAGTTTATCAATTTTATTAGTCTTTTCAAAGAACCAACTTCTGGATCTGTCAATCCTCTCTGTTGTATGTGTATTCTTTAATTAATTAATTTATGCTTTTCCTTTATTATTTTCTTTAGACTTAATTTGCTTTCTTTTTGTAACTACTTGAGATGGATACTTTGCTTACTGAATTTTAGCTTTATTTCTAATATGTACGAAAGCTGTATTTCCTTTTATAAGCATGGCTTTAATGACAGTTCAGAAATTTGGTATGTAGAAAATTCATTAAGCTTCTTTTGTTCCATAGGTTTTCTAATTTCTATATGATTTTTTCTTTAGCCCATGAGTTATTTAGAACTACATTTCTTAACTTCTAAATTCTGGTTATTTGTATCCAGCTTAGTTGCAAGGTTCAGATAACATACTCTTAGTGATATCTGCCCTTTGATGTTTGTGGAGACTTGCTTTATGAAACCAGCATATGGTCAATTTTTGGAAATGTTCTATGTATGCTTGAAAAGAATGTGTATTCTGCTGTTGTTGGCTATGTGTGTATTATGTCAATTTTATTAACTGTGTTTTTCAGATCTATATTCTTTTTATTGTGCTTTAGGTGAAGGTTTACAGCTGAAGTTAATTTCTCATACAAAAATTTATACACATATTGTTATGTGACATTAGTTAGAATCCCTACAATGTGACAGCACACTCCACCTTTCCACCCCGGGTTTCTTGTGTCCATTTAGTCAGTTCCTGTCCCTTCCTGCCTTCTCATCCTGCCTCCAGACAGGAGCCGCCCATTTGGTCTCGTATATCTGGTTGAACTAAGAAGCACACTCTTCACGAGTATTATTTTATGTTTTATAGTCCAGTTTAATCCTTGTCTGAAGAGTGGAATTCCGGAATGGTTTTAGTTCTGGGTTAACAGAGTGTCCGGAGGCCATAGTTTCAGGGGTAAATCTTCTGTATTCTTAGTGACTTTCTATTCATCTATTTTATCTACTTGCTGAGAGAAGTGCATCAAAAATTCCCCACTACAGGGGACCATGGTCTCAGGATCATCTAGCTCAATTTGCATAACATAGTTTATAAAGAAGCTGTTCTACATTCT